CTTTAGCAGCTCCTGGATTTGGGAAGTTGGGCTTGGCGTTTGGGGTTTATACCCAGAGAGCCCAATACCCCTTAACTAAGGAATATAGCTTAAATCATAATATGAAGCCCTATATGATTTAAGCCATATTCCTTAATTAAGGGGTATTGGGCTCTCTGGGTAAGGTTTAGGGCATCGGGTTTATTGAAGGGCTTCAGATAGCGGACTTTACGAGTTAAGCTTGGGGTTCTATATTAGAGTTCCACTTTTGTGTTGAAGCCCTCACACATGGGTCTAGATAAACGCCTGTCGTCCATATCTATATATATATACATATATATATATATATATATATGGATATGGGACTCAAAACTCCATAGTAACGATTAAGACCCCTGGGTTGTTGCAGCCCTGGTCGGCCCTGGCCCCTTTTCTTGAGACATGCCCACCCAGGCCTTCTTCGATGTCTCCGCCGCAGCCCGTTGCAGCCGTCGGCCACGAAACCAAGTCTCAGGGGTTAAGGGGTGTAAGGTTTTGGGTTTACTATACTGAACTTAGAACCCTAGCAAAAACTACAATTTTAGCTGTTTCTTAGGGATTATAATAACCAAAAATTAAAAGTTATTTCTAAGTACCCCTAAGTTTAGGGTTTAGGGGTTTGAAGTTGTTTTTAATGTGTGCTGCCTAGGTCTCCCCAGTCTGTCTCTTACAGACATACACTGGTGAGACGTTCCATGACGATCACGATCTCATCCATTGTGCCATCGTTGCTACACGATTAGGGTTTAAGGTTTAGGGTGTAGGGCCTAGGGTCTAGAGTAGCATCAGTTTTCGGCTTCATAGAGAGGGCTCTTGTGCAGTTCTTGTTGTCTTGCTATACGGCTTCTAAGCGGGGTCTTATCGGGGTCATATCAGAGATTAGCGATTCGTACTTATAGGAGTGTTGTAACAAATTGCGGCTTTCAGTCTGCCAAGGATACTACTGTCTACTGTCTATATGTTGACCCATTGCTCGAATGTGAAATGAGCCATTATGCATACTCTTATTCCTAAGACTCATGATCGCACGATGAGCTTTGCTACTGCGCCGATTATTGAACCACACGTCTGGGGGTTCAGGGTTTAGGGTTTAGGGTTTTGTGTTCAGGGTTTAGGGTTTAGGGTCCAGTGTTCGGGCGAGATACCGGGCTGTCAGGATGTGGGAGTTTCCGAAACTTGGGGAACCTGATAGTCCCCTAAATAGTAAGATCCTTAATATAAGGACCCCAAAATAAGGTACCCCGAATTGCCATGTTGAGTTTGGATCTCTTGAGAGTCGGGCTTCGGGCTCAGGTTTCTAAATTTCAGTAAGTTTAGGTTTAGGGGTTTAGGGTTTAGGGTTTAGGGGGACAGGTTTGCTAGCTGCGCAAAGTATCACAGGACGGACCCCGACATGAACACGCCGAAATCTCAAACCCTGAAGTCCAAAATTCCCTGAAATCACGAACCCTTCACTAGATCTAAGAGTAGCCTAGGAGAAAAAAGGGTGCCCTTTTTGGGTTAAAGGGGGTTATAAGAGAACCTAAACCCTAAAAAAAGGGAATAAGGGCCTACTCTGGGTCCTAGAAACCCTTCAACGTCAGAACCTCAGACCTTCAAGCCCTAAAGCGCTAAACCCCACACCTTCAACCCTCAAGGCCCACCTGCCTGCAAGAAACCGTACACCTTAGGCCCCAAAAACCCTAAACCCTGCGACTTTAAAGCCGTATAGGACTCTTTGAGACCTGCATAGAATCCAATCACTTGGAAGCTGCCGCGACCCTGTAATAGTGACTATAAGGATTATATTAGGGCCCTATTATATTCTTATTATACCACTATTACAGGGTGGGGGCAGCTTCTAACCAATCACCCCTTCTGGAGCCCTGAGCCCTCAACCGCCAAACGGCTTCCAGAACTGAAAGTCTCAAGACAATAAACCCCTAAACCAAAATACGACCCCTTAACTAGGTTACCCAGTAACCCAAGAATAAAAAGGCCTCTCTTTTTTGGTATTGGGTAACTTTGGAAGGAACCTAGGACTACAAAAAGGGAATAAGGGTACTACTGGGCATCCTAGATAAACCCCTAAACCAAAGTACGACCCCTTAATCAACCGTAGTAGAACATCATAAAAACACACGAGAAACTCATGCGAACCCTGTAAAACCGCCACGAGAGCCTTTTATTTATGGAACCCTGGTAGAGCACTAAACCCTAAACCAGTGTAGAACCCTAAACCCTAAACCCTAAACCCTTGTCGAACCTTGAACCCCGAACCCTAAACCCGTGGAACCCTACGTCCTAAATCCTTGTAGCAACCTAGACCCCAAGCCCATGCGAAAAGTGGACGCATAGCAAACTTGCATCTTGGACAGGATCTCCCGAAGAGTTTCCCCAATAACGTCCCTGAGGGAATCCAGCGTATTCGCCAAGGAAGTAGTGCCCAGAGATCCCAATACCCCTTAATTGGGGGGTATACCTTAAATCATAATATGAAGCCCTATATAAATTAAGCCATACTGGCGCCTCGGCTGTCGCATAGTATGGCGACAGGCCGACCAAGACCCCGACTCGAGGCGCGGTGCGTGTACCATACTTGGAGGTTCATGGGTAGTTATAAGTGGGGTTATAAGTAGGGTAACTATACTCATAACTCCTATAAGGGGACTTATAGCCCTACTTATAGCTACCCATGCACCTCCGAGCATACTTTACATCTCCAGCACAAAGCCGCTCCCCGCAGCGACGATGGCTGCTTCGCGTTCTTCGACAGCGTGGTTCGAAGACATCCTCCCGCTCTGCTGCGATCTGGGAGTTTCCGAAAATTAGGGGGTACCTTATTTTGGGGTCCTTATAATAATCTATTTAGGGTCCTATATTAGGGACCCCTATTCTCGGAAACTCTAAACCCTAAACCCTTTATAGAACCCTTATAGATCCCTTTCAGGAGCCCTTTAAAGGATCCTACTATACTAGTTAGGTTTTCGGAAATTTCCAGAGTTTCTGGAGTTGAAGGGCCGCTGAAGAAGCCTTGGGGTCACCGCGGAGAGCATTCCGATCAGCTGCTTGGAAGGGCAGGGGACTTAGTAAGTAGGTTATAAGTAGAGATACAAGTACCCTAAATGGAGATACCCCAATTATAACCCTACTTATAAGCTACTTACTAAGTCCCCTGCCCTTCCAAGTGGCCGGCGCCGACCGAACCAGTAAAACCCTGAACCCTTGTAGAACCACTACCATCACTATTATTACTACTATTATTACTACTACTACTACTACTACTACTACTACTACTACTACTACTACTACTGCTACGACTACTACTACTGCGGAAGCCTTGGGTGGTTGTCAAAATTACGGTCCCTATTTGGGTACCCTAAATATTAGGTGCCGTATTATAGTACGGATGCAAAAGGGGACCCTAATATTGACAACCACCCCCTTGTCGAACTGTGGAACCCTTTCAGAGGAACACGGTAAGAACCTGGGCCGGTCGCAGCGGAAGGCGTGCTTTGGCAACGGGCGGGCGGCCCGGAAGCATGTGCCTTCAGGTTTTTAGGTTTATAGGGCTTGTTTCAGAGCCTCAGACCCTGAACTCAGAGTTTCGTGGGTTTAGTGTTTAGGGTGGGGCCTTAGGGTCCCCTGTTTATTGTTTTCTGTACTTGTTCTAGGGTTGTATACGACGGGCTCAACGTTCTAGGTAGATGCTCATACAGATTCCACAGGGAGTTAGAGTTCGTTGAAGGTATATGGTTCTGGAGGGCGTGTCTGCAGGCTCGATATGAGCTGCTCATATGGGCTCTAGGGTGGTGGCAAGGCTTCGGGTTTCGAGTTCATGTTTTCGTGTTTAGGAGTTTAGGGTAGGTTTAAAAGTTTTTGAAGGAGAATCAGGCTGTGAAGCAAGCAGAGGCTCTACAAGGGACCGCGGTTGATTCGGGTGAGCATTTGCAAGGATTTAACAACTCATTTTTTAGCACTGATGGGTTAAAGCTTACAATTCGGGGTTTGGGGATTGCGGTTTAGGGTTCTAAACCGTTCCATGAGATTCCATAAGAGCTCGGGGTTTAGCGGTTGACGTTGTTTCGTCCTGCCATCAATCCCTAGTGTAGAAGAGAAACCAAACAAAGAACCTTCAAAGTGTCCAAATAATTACACGAAGCCTCAACAAGGACCAAATCAGTCGTCCTGAACCCCGAACTTCCACAAATCACAGCGGCACGCACCATTGTGTCAACTGCAGGGCACACGATGCGTCTTGCACACACAACTCGCTACGCCCTGCAAGCCGTTAACACGGCGAGTGCTGCATGCTCGAGTTGCGGCTCCCAGCACTTCCGTTCGGCATGAATTTCAAGGTTTAGGGTCCGGGTTTGGAGTGTAGGGATAGTGAATGCAGAGGTTTCCGGTTTCGGGTGTCGTCGTGGGCTTGGGGTTTTTGGGCTTTGGTCGGGTCTGCCAGAATCTGCTGGCCCCCTGGGCCCTCGCGACGCCCATTGCAGCAGCATCTGGGCAGCTCCGAAAAAAGCTCATGGCCCCCGAAACAACGACAGGCATAATGGCAGTGATACTAGTGATGATAGCAACATGGATGGTCAGAAACATGATCACGTTAGCTAAAGGGACGTAAAAGGCAGAAAGCAGGCCAATCCAAATTTCCTGTACATGGGAGTTTCCGAAAATAGGGACCCTAATGTACTGTAGTACCCTAAAATAGTAGGACCTTATTATAAGGACCCCAACATAAGGTACCCCCAATTTTCCGGAACTCCCACATTGATTGGCTCTACCCCGGCTCCCTGCGCAACGTCCAAACCAGCAAACCAGCTCGGGGTCGACTGCTCTGACAAGACCTCGCGTATGTTCCAAAACGGGGTCTCTTTACTGTCAAGGGTTTAGGGTTTCGGGTTTAGGGTTTAGGGTTTAGGGCTATTCTTGCGTAGTGGACGAGCGTCTTGCCGCCTTGGCCAAGCTGTAAAAGCCTAACCGCCCTGCCTCAGCATTCAGAAGTCCTTGTCCAGCGCGAAGGCCGTCAAAGGGTCCGAGAGACCCGCCATAACCCCGGCTTTCCTGGCTTTGAAGTGCTGATATGACATGCACGATAATGATGAAACATATACATGTATCTTAGCCGCAGAAAACAACAACAGGTGTTTTGAAATGCAATAGAGAATTTGAGGTTTGAAGGTCTACGGCTTAGGGCCCAGGGTTTTGACGGTGTATCACAGGGTTGATAAGGGACCCCGGTGGACGGGACCCCTGTGGGTTGCATTTGTCCAATGGGGCCCAATGGGGTCAAATGGGGCCCAATGGGTTTCCCATTTGCCCCCATTAGGCCCCATTGGGCCCTATTGGGCCCCATTGGGCAAATGCAACCCACAGGGGTCCCGTCCACAGGGGCCCCTTATCAACTCTGTGAGTGTAGGATTTGGGTCCTAGGGCTTAGGATTGGGGTTTCGGTGCATTTTCTTTGTAATCCCGATTGATGCAACACGGCTAGTATGCACCAGAATCCCTCTCTCTGAATTTCAGATCTCTCCTGGGAGGTTGCATGTGTAGTTCAAGGCTTTAGGGTTTGCACGGAACCTCCTGATGAAACATAGATGTTGAAGGATTTAGGGTGCACTCTCCGAGCTCCTACTCTAACAGACATTCCATGAAATTCATGGAACTGGGCCCAACTTCAACGTCTCTAGCTCGAGATTGCTTGTACTTAAACCCTCGCTTGATATATAAACACAAGATGGGCAATGACCATCACCCCCAAACCCTAAAACCCTAAAACCCTAAAACCCTAAACCCTAAACCCTAAATACCCTAAACCCTAAAACCCTAAACCCTCAAACCCTAAGCCCCCGAACCGTGTAAACCATGGCCGCTCATGCTAAGCTTCTGGTATTCTCCGACGCGCTTCTCGAAGAAGTTGGTCTTGCCCTGCCGGCATGGTTTGGGGTAAATTACGGTTGATGGTAGAAATCCTGCATTACCCATAATAAGGAATATACCATTATTCCCATAGTTTGGGGTCCTTAAGGTGATGCAGGATTTATATCATCAACAGTTAGAATACGGTTCCTTGAAGGATTCCTTTAAAAAGGGGTCCATAAGGATTACTATAAGGGTTACTATAAGAAGGATTTAGTCTAGGGGCCTTAATAATCAGAATAGGGTTTGGGCTATATTATACCAGAATCATAGTAAGGAGCCCCACAATAGTATCGGCTTAGGGTCCTGCAGGGAGATCATCTCCATCCAGTCGAAGGGGTTGCAAGAGTTGAAGATCTTGCCTAGGATGCCCAGTAACCTATGAATCAAAAAGGGCACCCTTTTTGGTATTGGATAACTTTATAAGGAACCTAGGACTGCAAAAAGGGAACAAGGGTAATACTGCGCATCCTAGCTGCTGTGTCCCAGAGCCGTTAACAGGCGATCTGCCACGAACTCGATGTACTGGGTCATCAAGTCCTCTGTCTGGTTCTTAGTAGAGACTAGGGGAATGGACTAATTATGGAGACGTACTTTTGGGGATTATATAGGGACTACTATAGGGATCCATTCACCCATTCCCTACTAAGCACCAGACAGTCCTTGTTCATTCCGATCAGATCACAGGACAGAGCCCCGCAGATGAACTCCCGCTCCACTTCGACTGCTCCGCGGATCATCTCGTGAACGACGTCTTCTGGGAGTTTGTGCTCCAGCATGCCGTAGAGCCTAAACCCGCAACCCTTAAACCCTAAACCCCTAAAACCGTAAAAGCCTTAAACCCTAGACCCCTAAACCCCAAACCCCCAAACCCCTAAAACCCTAACCAGCAGGCCGTAGAGCAGGCACGCAAAGTCCGCGTGGAGGCCCTCATCCCGGGAGATGAGCTCGTTGGAGAAGGTCAAGCCCGGCATCAGGCCGCGCTTCTTCAGCCAGAAGAGGGCACCTTTTTATGACTTCTTTTTTTTGCTATTATTGCTATTAATACTATTATAACTATTATTACTATTATCACTATTATTACTATTATTACTATTATTACTATTACTACTATTATTACTATTATTACTATTATTGCTAGTATTACTATTATTACTATATTATTACTACTATCACTACTAGTATGAATATAACCTTTATTATTGATATTATTAGTATCTTGTCATCTTCAGTCAGAAGAGGGCACAGAAGGAGCCGCTGAAGAGGATGCCCTCAACGGCGGCAAAGGCCACCAATCGCTCGGTGAAGCTGCTCTCACGATTCATCCACTGCACGGCCCACAGAGCCTTCTGCTGCACAGCCGGCATGGTGTGGATAGCATCGAAGAGGCTGTCCTTTAGAAGCTGCCCCCACCCTGTAAAAGTAACTATAAGGATTATATAGGATTATATTAGGGCCCTAATATATTCCGATTATACCACTATTCCAGGGTTTAGGGTTTAGGCTTCTAAGCTGTCCTTCTCTGCGGGATCCTTGATGTACTGCTCAATCAAGAGCGAGTACGTCTCGGAATGGATGTTCTCCATGGCGATCCTGGTTCTTGCTAAGGGATTTGATTTAAGGTACCATTAAACATGATAACAAAAAATGATGATAATAATAGTAGTATTAATAATAATCATAAGCAGCCCCCTATTCTTTGCTATGGATCCCTATCATGGTAAACCCTAAACCCTATACCCTAAACCCTAAACCCTATACCCTAAACCCTAAACCTTCATGGTAAACCCTAAACCCTATACCCTAAACCCTAAACCCTATACCCTAAACCCTAAACCCTATACCCTCTACCCTGAACCCTAAACCCTAAACCCTATACCCTATACCCTAAACCCTAAACCCTAAACCCTATACCCTCTACCCTCTACCCTAAACCCTAAACCCTATACCCTATACCCTAAACCCTAAACTCCTTAACAAGAACCCAGGGTCTGGAAGCCATAGAAGGCCCTGGCCTCTGGAATCTGCACCTGGGATTTTCGAAAATAGGGGACCCCAAGATAGTACCCTACATAGTCTAGTAGGATCCTTGAAAGGGTTCCTTAAAGGGATCTATAAAGGGTATAGGGTTTAGAGTTTCCGAAAATAGGGGACCCCAAGATAGTACCCTAAATAGTAGGATCCTTATTATAAGGACCCCAAAATAGGGTACCCCCTAATTTTCGGAAACTCCCTCAACCCTAATAGAACCCTTATAGATCCCTTTTAAGGAACCCCTAAAGGATCCTTTTAAGGTACCCCTAATTTTCGGAAACTCCGGACCTCCGTCGAGAATTGCGAGGCGAGGTTCTCGAGCACGATGCCGTCAGATGCCGCAAAGAAGGCCAGGACGTGCTTCACGAAGTGCTGCTCACCTTCCCCCAAAGAGCCCAATGCCCCTTAACTAAGGAGTATGGCTTAAATTAGGTAGGGCTTCATATTATGATTTAAGGTATATTCCTGCTCACCTAGGTTACCCAGTAACCTCAGAATAAAAAGGCCACTCTTTCTGGTATTGGGTAACTTTATAAGGAACCTAGGACCACACAAGGGAATAAGGGTACCACTGGGCATCCTAGTCACCTTCCGTTGCAGCAACTCCAAACCGGAAACCCTGAAACCGCAAACCCTAATCCTACTAGATTCCATCGCAAATTACTCTAAGCCTTGGAGCGCAAAGCCTAAACCATCCAAGCACCTTGAGCCCCGAACTCCTACTTGGAGGTTCATGGGTAGTTATAAGTAGGGTTATAAGTAGGGTAACTGTAGTTATAAGCCCTATTAGGGGACTTATACAGTAAAAGCCAGAAAGTTGGAATATGATTATCCTAAACCCTGTATGGTAAATTATAGGGTATCCTACCCTGAAACCATATTCCAACTTTCTGGAGTTCCCTTTAATTAACCCCACTTATAACTACCCATGAACCTCCAAGCAATCAGAAGCCCCAAATCTTCAACGCACACCGTGGCCTTCATTGAGCGTCGCCCAGTCCTTGTTGTCCTGTGCCAAATCAATCTCCTCGGCTGTCCAGAAGGACGCCTCGTGCTTCTTGTACATCTCCCAGACCTCCCAGAGTTAGCTTGGGCCTTCGAGTTTAGCTTTTTTTTGAGGGTAGTGGCCATTTAGCTTCAAGGGCTTAGGCTTTTTTTGAGATCCTTCTTATCTATTTGCCCAACCACCTGAGCTTAGGGCCTTGGGTTCCGGGCTTCGGGGGGCAAAGGGCGGTCCTAAGCACAGCTTCCGAGCCCTGTCTTCCTGCACGGCTGGATGAGCAACCGGCGTGGACCCCGACTTCCGGATACTGCAGGGGGAACATGGGTAGTTATAAGTAGGGTTCTCCCTTAACCCTATACCCTTCTAGAATCCCTATAGATCCCTTTAAACCGATCCTTGAAGGAACCCCTTCGAACTACCCATGAACCTCCGGGTACTGCAGGGGGAACATGACCCAGCGGCGCGGATTCTCCTTGAGCAGACGATCGTTCTTCTCCAGCTCCTTGAACTCCTCCGGAAACTGAGCCCTCAAGGGCCTGAAAAGCCTCATTTTATGGGCAGTTATGAGGGTTCCTTTAAGGGTCCCTTCAAAGGGATCTGTAGGGATTCTATAAGGGTATAGGGTGTCAAGCCTACTTGGAGGTTCATGGGTAGTTTATACATGGAGTTATAAAGCACGGCTCCCATATTCATCACTCATATTACATAGTAGGGGACTTATAACCCCACTACCTGTGAACCTCCGAATACTCCGAAAAGAACCCTAAACTACTAAACCCTGACAACCCTGTACCCTGAGAAGTCTAGAGCCCCCCCCCCCCGGAAATAACCCAATCCAAGAACCCTCAAATCCTAAACGACCGAACCCCAAGAGCCCTAAACCGTCACATCCCCGAACCCTCGGAACCCAATAAGCCCCTACATCCTAAACCCTAAATCCTAAACCCCTACATCGCAAGCTCCTCGGATACCCGGGTCTTCTGTGCTCGGACAGAGTGGGTGTTCGTCACCTCCATCGTCTCTGCCCTGTATCCCTCTGAAGCGACGTCGGAAAGCATGGCGGAGGAGGGCATGGTGCAAGGAGCAGGCAGCTACAGCAGAAATGCTGAATGAAAAACGGCGGCCCTCCCTGATTTCAGGCGTCTAACATGTGGAACTCTGGCATTTGGTATCAACACTGCCCAACACTTGGAAGCCAAGTGCCGGTCCCAGCACGGAAAAAGGAGCTGTTCTGTGTTCTATACGTCTGCCTCTGTTCATTGGAAAGCAACAGACAAAACTATGATGATGACGATAAAGAAGGCGATGATGACGATGGTTGCGTATGTACACTGCATGCTTGCGACCAAATTAAGAGTGAGGATGTGGGCTGCACGATGGCCAGAAGCATGACGACAGTTCTCACGATCAGAGAAGAATATGTTAATGATGATGACCACCAAGTTTGCCAAAGCCTTCAGAGGGAGGGCGGATGTAGACGACGAAAATGGGAATGGTGACCATGACGATGGGAGTGGGAACGGTCAGCCTAGTTGACGTGATGATGGTGCTGATGGCAATGGTGGTGATGATGATGATGATGATGATGATGATGATGATACTGACGAAGGTGGTGGTGATGATGATGATGTTGTTGTTGTTGATGATGATGATGATGGCGATGGCGATGATGATGATGATGATGACGATGATGATGATGATGGCGATGATGATGATGATGATGATGATCAGCATTCTGAAAGAATGAAAACGATGAAAATGACTGACATGATGAAGATGGCGAATGATGAACATCGTGAAAACGGGCAAAATGATGAACATCATGAACATCATGAACACACTGAGCATGATGAAAATGATGACAAGGATGAAACTGATGAACGTGATGAACACAAAGAACATAATGAACTTAGTGAAGATGACATGATGAAGACGGTGATCGCGATGGTGATTGTGATGATAACCATCATAATGATGATCACGAAGGTGGTGAGAATCGATGATGGCGGTGATCATGATGACGACCATGATGATGATCACGAACCTGATGCTGATGCTCATGATGACGACGATGATGATGATGATGATGATGACGAAGACGAGGACGCAAATGGTCGTATCGCCACGGCTGTCTCTCTAGTCCTCGTAGGCGACACCGCGCCGCGCACCCTAAACACCCAAGACTCGAACGACTGCGCTTCAAGTCCGAATGCTACCATCAATAGCTCTCCTTCAACCCTAAACCCTAAACCCTCAACCCTAAACCCTAAACCCTCAACCCAAACCCTCAACCCTAAACCTTAGCCGTCTTATGCCCGACTTCTGTCCCGAGGCCTTAACCCGAGCACTGCCGGTGCCGCGTCGAAGGGCGAAAGCACCATGGCCAGCAAAGGAGGAATGTCTAAACAGCTTCTATGGGGTCTCTTTCTTTTTTGTTTTAAGCCCTCGTGTCTTTTGGTGGTCTCCTTCAGGGTTTAGAGTTTAGGGTTCACAGTTTAGGGTTTTCAGGACGGTTCTTGTAAGGATTCCTGTCGCGCTCTTTAGCAAGTTTATGACGTTCTTTACAGGCTCCTTTGGAGGTCCTTCTATTTGTTCCATTAAGGGTTCAAGGGCAGAGCGGACAAGAAAAATTCTACGTTGGGGCAACAAGGGTGTTTGTGCCAGATTAGGACATATACTCTGTGGAGTACGCGGGACTTATGACACTGGGTTGATACAAGGAAGGCTTCGAGATGAGGGTTTAGAGCCCAGGTTTTTGGAAGGTTTAGCTAGTAGACGAGCCGCTGATACCCTGGAAATATTCCTGGACAAGATCCTTAAACCCTTTAAATGCAAACAGACAGCATTGTGGGTTTCCTCATCGATCTTAGCAACGTGATGACTGGCGATCCGGATTTCTGGTTGAGTTTAGGATTGAGGGTTTAGGGTTTAGGCTTTGAGGGGGTCTGGGGTCGGGTTCCGGGTTGCTTGTGCGTGGGGGGGCTCTCATGTCTTTGTCCACGGGCATTATTCTAGGATGGGTTTGGGGTTTGGGGCCTAGGGTGTCGCACATGGCCATGTAGGTTTCGTGCGACTCGGCAGCATTGAGCACACATTTGCACGGACAGATCCTTACTGGGCGGAAGTTGGTTCACAGGGACACTTAGGGGGGTAGCGGGGAAGGGGGGGTAGGGGACTATACTTCCTGAAATAAGCCTTATTAAGTCCTTATTCTAGGTATTAAGGCCCCATATCCCCCCCTCCCGTACCCCCCTAAGGATCACTATGAGTGAAGGTAGGGGCCCAGTGGTTTATCATTATCACAGCTTCGTTCCACACCTACAGTGGTCTCACCACGGATGCTCCCACAAGAATGCGCCAGTTCTGTCGCAGCCAAGGGAAATAAACATGCAAATGAGATGAGAAATGGGAAGACGAAATGCACTATCACATAAACTTGTCAAAGCAGGTCCTGATGTGAAGTAATGCAGGTCATCCCGTCTGGTAGGGTACAAGAAAACAGCACAATTGGACATAAGTGGAGCCTACCCGTAAACATCGTTTTGAAAGGTTTCGAGCGGTATTGAATCATCACTCGAGTCTACTGGCGTAGGCTTTCAACCTCTTCCGCCTGAAGAAACCTCGACAGCAATGCAGGGGCCTTCATAATTAGAATTGGGTCTTGGGGCCATTATACTGTAATTATAATAAGGAACCCCAAAAAAGTATTGGTAGTTCTTTAGGCCCCTGTATTATATTATATCCCGATCCACATGGCGGAAACTGATGAAATACAATCAGTGACACGGGGTTTGGAGTTTACGGTCTGACGGTTTCAATCTATAGAGCCGGGGTTCAGAATTTAGAGCTGCAGGATACTTCTGACTCTGAGCCCTCCATCACTCACACACTGCTAGAATATTCCGAGCCAAGCCTTTGTTGACACATGATAGTAGCCAGAGTTTTGTAGGAACAGAAGTAGTAGAAGCAGAAGTAGAAGTAGAATCTAGAAGTGGAAGTACAAGTACAAGTAGAAGTACAAGCACACGTAGAAGTAGAAGCAGAAGTAGCAGTAGTAGTGGTCGTCATCGTCGTAGCCGTCGTCGTCGTAGTAGTGGTAGGTTGTTGTAGCAGTAGTAGTTGTTGTTGTTAGTTTTAATAGTATGTTATACTTATGAAGTAGTCGTAAATATCATATAGTGGGGTCTACCCTAAAACCAGGCCCCTTAGAGTACTTCATGGCCCCGAAAATCTCCGCACTTCGATCTCTCGTGGGGCCTTATCCTCGAGGGTTATGACGACGGAGGCCCATCCTTGAACTCGGCTTTTGGGCTTCAGGGTTCCTTTAAAGGGTACTACAGGGCTTCCTTTAAGGGGATCCATAAGGGATCTTTGGGGTTTAGGGTTTAGGGGTTTAGGGTTTAGGGCTTGAGGGGTTTAGGGGTTCAGAGGTTTAGGGGTTTAGGGCCTGGGGGTTAAGGGGCTTCAGGGGTTCAGGGCTTGAGGGGTTTAGGGATTCAGGGGTTTGGGGGTTTAGGGATTCAGGGGTTTGGGGATTTCGAAGTTCAAGGGTTTAAGGGTTTTAAGGGTTTAGGGATTTAGGGGTTTTGGGATTTCGGGGTTCAAGGGCAGGTTCCGGATCCGACAGAGATGCAGGGTTTGGGCTTGCTGGGTTGTGGTTGCTTGGGGCGTAGGTTTAGGGATAGGGTTTAGGGCTTGGGTGTAGGTTCGGGGCTTGGGATTTGAGGCTGTGACTGGGCTGTGACTTTTTTCGGCTTAGGGCTTGGAGTTTGGGATTTCGGCTTATCTAAGGTTTTGCTTTTCGGAGCTTGGGTAGGGTTCGAGATGGACATTCTGATTAAGATCCGTAGCGTAGCGCAACCCTAGACCCCAAACCCGAACCCCAAACCTGAAACCTTCTACCCCCAAAAAGACCCCCAACAGCGAGAGCTCTCCAAAGGAAGCCCGAATCGGGCAAAAAACTCGCGAACGCTTTGCAACGATCTTGAAGCTAATCGTCAGACGCCCACAGCTCCAAACACGAACCCTTCCACTGTGCCACTGCACACTCGGGCAACAACAACAACCAACGACCTTCTGCGATCCCTATATTGAACACACATGCAGGAAGAACCATCTCGATCCTTGGGATCAGTAGCACGGCCCTAAACTCTACACCCTGCACCCCCCCTGCCAAAAAAAAAAGGATGTACCCAAAGCACACCTCCAGCCTAAAATTCCTTCAGAACTTTTCCAGCACCCAGTCTGAGACAGGGGCCATCTTCTTCCAGGCAGCTGGTGGGATCGTAAAGCACCCCTGGCATTTCCGTAATCTATATGTATGTGTATATATATATATATATATATATACATATATATCTGGAGAGTGCGTCGGAATGCAGGCCCGTGTTTTTCAGTCGAAATAAGCGAGTTTCAGTACATTCTTCATGCTTCTCAAGACTTTTGGCTCATCTGTAGCAAAATCGAACACAATGGCAAAACCTCCTGCAAGTTTACAAACATGCTGAATGGTAACTGGCCAACACAGTTATGCAACAGACATTTGATTTTGTGCTGTTAAGTTACCTATTCGAAATATTCGGGTTTGCCACCCCTTCCATTTTTCTTTAGACCCAGTAGGTATGCTTGAGGAACATGTCAGATGTTATGACCTATTTCTGGATCTTGGCATTCACTGTATCTTTCAGGGTTCTACTGTAACATCAGTTATGCCTTGTTAGTTGGGACAGAAATGCCTCAATTAGATGTTAGTCTTGGCTCTCCACCATGTTTGTGTTAAGTTGCTGAATTTCCACATATCATCTTTTGTTGGAGTTTAAAGTGTTTCTGACCTAGTGGGGTTGACTATGGATTTTTACCCGCAGTCTGCCGCCAAGGATGAACATATTGGACATGCCACCCATGTATCCTGATCAGAATATATCATGCATTCAAACTTGCTACCCTTCTTCGGGATGATGAACTGAATTCCATCACCTCCCTGAATTTTTTTGGGCTTGCCACCCAACTTGTCCAATATGGTGGATTGCTGGAACCCAATCGTGATGTTAGTGTTTGAGACGCATCATCTGTCTCCCATATCTTAATTTAAGAGCTATATGTATTTATACATATCTGTTAAACATTTTTACATAAACTGCATCATATCTAATCATTATTAGCCGTTTGGACAGCCTTCCACTATGTCCACTTGTATTTGGAAAGTTTCGTTTCTCGAACCACTGCGAACCACTCCTCCATTCTAGCCCTTTTTGAACTTTTGCCAGTCTTCCGAGTCATTTAAATTTCATTGATTGCTGTCATCTTGTCTGTGTCTGCGCAATTTGGGTCCATCATCTTTAGTCATAACGATGAAGATTTGGCCACCTGTCCGTTGCTCTTATTCATATCCTGCTAAGGCTGTGGTTTCGAAAGCATAAGGCAATCCCTGATAGGATTGGGGGGGGGGGTCCCGCCTATCCGCTCCGCAGTTTCAACCGTGGTTATCTGAACGAACGATTGGGATTGTGATCTATCATCTCGTATCAGGGCTTATGCATCTTTTGGGGAATGCGTGCATCATGTCTGATAGTGCAATTTTCAATCACCCAGTAAAAAACATGATAAAAACCGAGTGTTTCACCCAAAAGCACAACATTGTGATGGGGTTGCATAAGCCTTCAACTTTCTAAACCCTAAGGCCGCAACAAATTCGCGTGTGTGTATATATATATAAACCAAATCGATGGTTGAGATATCCCTATCAACTTGCACATCTGTCACTATCGTACATGTTTTCGACCGATCGATACATGTATATATTATATATAAACTGTACATCTGACATGATAACACATATGTATTTAGACATGAACCGACAATGGCATCAACAATGTAGTTTTCAACGACCTGGTTCTAATCATTGTTGTATGATATTCATAGGAAAAACATACTTAGACATACATGCTAAGTGTAACTATATATATATATATATATATATACGCACACATTCACGACTGTTAAATGCATGGTTCCTCTGTTTATACATATATATGTATACAATCACATATGCGATGTCATGCGACTTGTCAAGTTGAATGATCACATAGACACATGTATCTACAAACATACCCAGGAATGCATGGACAAGCTCTACATATGGATCATGCAAGAGGTGATATCTATTAAAATATCCTATAACCTTATGTTGCAATCTTGATATGTCTCATAGGGGTGGATGATAGAGATGAAGATCTTTATGAGGTTTCTCCTCGGTCCTGAGTCTAGGTGGATTTATGATCTTGTTTCTTGGCCTAAGGCCTGAAGGCTTTACAGATTTGTATAATTACTGAAATTCGCTGGCTTGGTCCGTAGGCCTGGCTCTAGCCTCAGAAGGGCTGCACTTTGAGGTTTTGAGGTCTCTGGGCTGGACTGGGGAGGGGGGGGGGAAAAAAAAAAAATAAAAATAAAAAAACCATATTCTTTAGTTTTTTTTCCCCCCCCCCCCCCAGCTGCAAGGCCAGGGCCAGGGCCACGGACTCCAGGCCTTTTGGCTCTTTGGTTTAGGCTATCTAATGTTGCAGACACTATCCAGGCCCGTTATTCCCATAGGAGCTTTCAATCAGATAACATTTTTCTTTGTTCAGTAATTTTTCCTGTAAACAAATAAATGCAACACTCTTGCACAATCCTAGCTTACAATATGGAGAAAGGGAAAGCTCCAAAACTCGGGCCTGCAGTGCGACGCTTTCTGTATATATATATATATACATATATATATATATATATATATATATATATACATCGACGCCTGATAACTCAACTTCCCGCAGAGCAATGGCGACGGCTACACCATGAGCGTTTTCACACTCAGCAGAGCCTCCGGCAGTGCTGCTGGACTTTAGGAAGATAAAACATCAGGAACCCGACCCCAGATACCATGGGGTCCTTAAAACTTAGCATAGGGTTGTAGTGCCCATTATGCTATAATCATAATAAGGCACCCCCCAAAATAGTATGGGTAATTAGTACGGCCCCTATAATACCAACATGTCTCTTATAAAAAAACACACCCGGGCGAGAGGAGGACTCTTGCAAATTGCATGGAAGACGGGAAGCCGCCCCTTTGGCTCTGCTACTACTGTATCCACGCCGCGGGTGACATAGCCCAGGGGGAATCATGACGGTCTGCCGGGAAGGGTGGTGACCTGGTGAGGGGGAAGATGAAGATGAACCCTATAACGATGAGTAAAAAAAGCCCGAACTTGATGACATCAAATGCTGGTGCTTGTCGCGATGACGATGTTGATGACTGATATGACTTGTGAACTGCGATCATGCGATGAGAAAAAACATGCTGAATAAAAATGCTGAATGGTTGGTGGTGGCGGTGTTGGTGGGTTACAGGCTTAGGTTTGGGGCAGACTCAGGTTCCTACGCCAGTTTAAGGGGTAGCTGCTACTTGGAGGGTCGGGGGACTTAGTAACTGGTATTTTTAGGGACTTATAAGTACCATAACCCCAGTTAGGGTCCCTTTTAGGGTACTTATAAGTCTACTTACTACCTACTTACTAAGTCCCCCGACCCTCCAAGTAGCTCATTAAAGACTATTAAGGTTTCCGGGAGCTTGGGGAGTGGGGTGGGGTGAGGGAGATTGGAAACTGCCCAGCATGCAGAGTGGCTATGCTAGAAGAAAAAGAGAGGTTCAATGAGCTAGCTACTAGTTAGTACAGCTGTCTTGAACTATGCACGACACGATTCCTTTTAATCCCTAAACCCTAAACCCTAAACCCTAAACCCTAAAACCCTAAACCCCAAACCCTAAACCGACCCTGTTCCAGTTACTGAGGCCCTGCGCCAGAAAGATGAGACAGAAGCCCGCAGCCACCAAATGGCACTCGCGAAACCGTCAAGGCTGAACTACCGAAGCTTGGGGCTTAGAGTTTAGGTTGTAAGGTTTAGGGTTTAGGATCGTAGGGTGTAGGGTTTAAGGATTAGCATATAGGGTTCAGGGTATAGCTTCGAGGTACTCTGGCCCTCACATTCTGAAGGCAACAAGCACAAGTGCAGCCAGCGTTCTTCTTCTTCCTCCTCCTCTCCCTCCTCATCATCCCGCCCTCTAACCCTCATAGGGATCCTTAGGGGTGTAGGGGGAGGGGGGGCAGGGGGCCTTAAGGCCCATAATAAGGACTAATAAGGCCTATTTAAGGAAATATAGTCCCCTACACCCCTCCCCCCTACACCCCTAAGGATCCCTATGAAACCCGTTCCGATCTCTTTGCGAGGACGGGCTGCCTTGCATTCCAGGTGGCAGCACCTGCCAGGGCCAGGGCTCAGTGGAGTTGATTCTGTGGCTTCATAATCCTACTATTTGCTTAAGAGCCCCCAAAAAATAAAAATATATATTCCTTATTGGGGTAATATAGGGATTATTATTTTTATTTTTGGGGGTTTCTTAAGCAAATAGTAGCTAGTGTTGATGATATACATCCTGCATTACCTTTAAGGACCCTAAACTATGGGAATTATGGCATATTCCTTACTATGGGTAGTGCAGGAGTCATATTATCAACCGTACCTTTACCTATCCTTAACCTTTTGCGCCGAACCAGAACCACAAGGTTTAGATTCAACAGGGCTTATGAATAAAGGGCCCGAAACCTTCTTTGTGTACGTTCTTGTAGGCTCTAATTGTGTACTTGTAGGCTCTCATTATAAGCCCGAATAACGGACTATGTAGACTTGGTGAGCAGGGTGCCTTGTACACGCGCCGTGCCAGCTGCGTTGAGTGCAATCTCCTGTTGATGGGTTCCTATACAGAGCTTACTTGGAGGTTCATGGGTAGTCACAAGTGGGGTTATAAGTAGGGTAACTACAGTTATAAGCCCTATTAGGGGACTTACCACCCGGCTGATAACTATCCATGAACCTCCACGTAGGATTTAATGACCGGGACGAGAACAGATTTGGATGCACAGAGGGAGAGGGTTGGGGGGTTTAGTTTTTTGGGCATAGGCTTTAGGGTTCAGGGTGGGAATGGGGGCTGAGGGTTTGGGATATAGCGGCTTGCCCTACATCCTCAACATCGAGCCCCCAACCTTGGTGGCCTGAACTCGTTAAGCCCAAACCCCTTATAGTAAGCCTTATACTAACACTTATAGCGACCCGCTCGTAACACATTCCAGTGATCTGATAACCCTTAAATTATGCCCTACAGGAACCCTTAATGGAATCCTCAAAGAAACCGTGAGGCCTTAAGACTTCATCTGTGTCCTCAGCAGTGCACGAGCACTGATGCCCTGCCACGACCAAAGTCCCGAGGAGTCCCGGAAAGCCTCCACCTTTCTCGCAGGGCTCTTGAGGGGCTTCGGGTGTTGAGGGCGTCAGATTTAGGGCTTAGCGTTTAGGTTTTTTTTTTTTTTTTTTTGAAAGTGCAGTGGCTCTTTCTCCGCATGGCTGCAGGTCTCAGGGCCTGCCTCGAGGAGGCTTACACTACGACAAAAGAGGTGCAGCACACTCACTTGTGGTTCACATCCTTCTCTGTCACGACTTGTCTGCTCTCAAGTTTCAGGGCCATCTCTACTCCGACTACGCTCCAGGTCACGTTCACCATGGCGGGAGCCACGACTTCGTTCATCCCGACGACTCTGTTCAACCCAACGACGAGGTCCCGACCCAACCAGTCCAGGCTGCCCAGTACGTCCCGGGGGGTCACGAGCACCAGGAGCGCTTCCAACTCGGCGCCGGCGTCCAGAACGTCGTAGAACTCCAGAAGGTTCGGCAACAGCTGAAGGTACAGAACGAGCTCGTCGACGGCGTGCAGTCTCCACTTGAGAAGAAGGCCGAGGGAGGGCACGCACCGGAACGGCACCTTCCAAGGCAAGTTCCACACCAACCGGGACCAACTGCGGTTCAGGGCGAGGCCGATGTTGTCGTCGACGTTGGTTACCACGGGCATGGTCGCGCGCAGACAATGGTCGCGGCATTCCACGCGGCCAGTTGGGCACATCCACCGACGAGTCTGTCTGGACGAGGTAGAGGTTGTCATCATCCGGACTGGGCCATGATCCCGCAGGTGTGTCCCTTCCGCCACTCTGGAAGAGGTAGTCCATGTGGTTGCGCCATGCCCGTCGACGGAAGCCTGCCCAAGCATGCTCCGGGACTCCAGGAAGCGCGTGTTCAACCGCAGACAAAGAGGCAGGTAGTCCCGGTTGCAGGAGCACGGCAGGCGCATTCACCCAAGTGGCGGCCACGGTGGAGGAAGACGGGGTACTTCGAGTGGACTCACGCACGATCGTCCCCCAAACGTTGCGCTCATGTATGTTCGCGTTGAGAGGCAACGCCTCCGCCGGGACATGCACCCAACGTAGAGCTTCGTCTAGAGCAACTTGAGTAAGGCGAAGAAGGTGAAGTAGGTGTCGCTGATGAACCAGAAGACGGCGTAGTAGTTCAGTGACGTCTGCCTCTGCCGAGATAACAAGTTGGTGATTCACCGCATCCCTGACAGCATCCTCAGCAGTGAGCACAGTCGTGGTTGTAGTACTATGCTCTGTGCAACATGGCTGGAGGGTCATCGGAGGCTGGGTTGTTGTCCACGAAGACGTCCAAGAAGAGCTCGACGAAGAACTTGTCCTCCACCATGTCGTCGGGCAACTCTGCAGGGCCACAGATCCGTCACCCACCGGGGTGGTCTGCAAGAGGGAAAGAATATCCTCCAGTTCCGTGTCGTAGGTGTCGAACGAGGGGACTGAGGGATACTGCAGGAGGAACAGTTCATCCTCAACAGCTTCACCGAGGTTGCCCAAGGAACTCGACGAGGTTGTCGTGGTAGACGAGGCCACAAAGTCCTCCGGCACAGTCACACAGGCTCCTGAACCCATAGCACTTGAGTTCAGCTGTGCTTCCTCTGCCGGTTCCCTCCAGATTCCCTGCAGTTCCCACGGAGCAAGGTGCAAAGGAAAAGAGGAATTCGAGGCCTCCCTAGTTCCCCGTGCCGACGACTGTGAGGCATTGTCTGAAGGTTCCACTGTCTCCACGTTTCCGTGTGGTGAGCGGCTCCTGCTTCTGGGGACACTGGCTTCGGCACTGGACGAACTTGCCTCACCCTCTTGCGGTTGAAGCGGAGTGCGGAGGTGGTTGTCGAGGTTCTCCATGAAGACTGGAAAGAATCTTCTGATCCAGGTAAACATGCTCCAGCGTAGTTGTTCAGTCCGTGGGACTCTGGTAACCGGGAGAAGGCCCCTTGGTCGTAGTCTACGTCGAAGTACTTGTAGGATAGCTTGTTGAGCATCAGCTCCTTCTCCTGCTCTATCAACAAGACGTTCAAAGGCCCAACGACTTTCAGGTCCGAGACCCAAACTCTCCTGTCTGTCAAGGGCCTGGAGCATCTCGGTGACTTGCTGGATCTGTCGCTGCGACACCCCATTCTCTTGCAACGTGGCAACTTCACCATTGGTGATCGCCATCCGACCGAAAACCTCCGGATCGATAGGCCTCACATTCGGAAACAACCCAGCATTGGGCAAGACCATCGGAGGATCTCCATGTTCCACCTGATTCATGGTGGATGTCGTAGTGGTAGTAGAGCTCAAAGACGAGGAAGACAAAGAAGGCCACGTGATCGTCCAGCTCCAGATGGGAGGTCCATGTCCTGATGTCCAAGGGCGCGGGTCAAGGAAATCCACCAAGTCACCCCACACAGTGCCATTGACAGTGGTAGTAGTAGACGAGGTCCAAGACCATTCTTCCCATCCTCCTCCATTTGACCACGACCATCCAGACCATGAATGAGAATCCTCCCAAGTCGAGGCATTCCACCATCCCGTCCAGCTCCAGTCTTCCCCTGACGAAGTCACAGTGCTCTCCGACAGTTGACTCCCAGTTTGAGCAACAGGGAGATCATCCACAGGCTGAGGATCGAGGGTGGCAAGTTTTCCATTTGACTACTCTGCGCGGCCAAACGTGCTTCTTTGTCCCGTGCATATTGGCGAAGCCAAGCCGGCTTCCAGGAACCGGCCATGTACTCCGCCATTCTGGCAGCTTTGCGTTCCGTGCGCGCAGCTCCTCGACCTCCTTGATGTGCACGAAGTTCAGCAGGAGTTCGTGGACGGGCATGCCAAACCCCATGTCGGTAGAAGCCCACATCAGAGGATGAAGCCGAACCAGTAGACGAAGAGGTCCCACCTTCGGAGTCTCCATGATAGGGTTCTCCCGTAGTGCAACTAGTATCATCCGGCACGGCTGTACTGACATCATCTCCACTAGCAGCCGAGGAGGACCATACCTGAAAAGATTCTCCATAGAAGGTGCGGGCTTTAAGAGCAGGACCATCAGGATGAACATCAACCCCCACAATCTGAAACGGTGCCACAGGCGAAGGGTCAGGTTCCTCATTAACCTGTTCGGCGGCGAGTCGTTCGCGTCTTCGTGAACGAACTGAGCCGTCCGGGTTGTGCCACCTGTCGAGGCCAGGTCTTTGTACACTCCAGCGCTGCGTGACCCCTTGACAGGAGTTTTCAGTCGGAGTGGCTGGGGAGGTGTCAGGGGGATGTGTAGTGTCTACTTCCGAAGGGCATGAGGGCTCATCTTCCGCGACGGGGCCATCATCACTATCATCGACGGGCGTGAGAAGAGGCCGACGTAGCTGAAATCCTTCACGGCCACGAATGTTCCGACGGTCTCGAACACTGTCCCACCAGTTGCGAGCACCACCCAAATTTGCTGACGGCGTCGTTAAGGGAGAACGAAGGTCAAACGGCATGGGCAGGTTCTCCGGGATCGGTGGTAGCTGTGTGTTGACCGGGTCTTGAACTGCAAGAAGGCTGTGGTCCACAAAGTCATCCACAAGATCGTCGTGCAAGCCCCAGCAGACATCCTCGTCCCAGGCCTCTGCCCTTTGCAACATAATTTCTTCTTGAGTCCAGGGTCGAAGCCGTTCAGGAAGAGGTCCTGATGACGAGGAGGATGCCATCGAGCTTGTCCAGGGTGGTTGACTCGTCTGTTGGTCTACAGGAAGGTGTTGTGACGAAGTCACCCAAGGTGTTGCAGCCGGTTCGAGAGACGGCGACCACGTCGAAGACCACGACGAAGGCGGCGGCATAGCTGAGGAAGAAGAAGAGCTCGAAGAGGAAGTCCACGGTGTACTCGAAGAAGCCGAAGTGGTAGTCGATAAGGCTGTACACGGAGGTGACGAAGGCCCCGTCGGGGTAGGTTGTGAAGGCAAGGCTGACGAAGATCCAAGGATGTCAGGCTGCGGATGAAGGACAGAGGTCATCCCATGGGCACCAGTTGTAGAAGAGCTCCACGAAGAGTCCGGCAGAAGGTTTGTCCAGCTAGTCTCCCATTTGTCCCATTGCCAGCTTTCCCAGGTGCTTTTGCCTTCATCTTCCCAGGGGCCAGCAGCACACAGCGCGAAGACGCCGAGGAGAAGCCAGGCGGCCATGTCAGAGTACACAAAGAGCGTGCGGGAACTCACGGTTACCAAGTTCACCTCGAGCCGAGAACGACAACAGCAGAGAGGTCTCGAACGGTATGAGCGCTTGCATTGCAGAAGGTGTCGGCATCAGTCAGCTTCAGGATGTTCACAAGCTCACATGGGGCAACAGGCATGACTATCAACAGGATTTGCATTGCAGAAGTTGTCGGCATCAATCAGCTTCTGGATGGGCACAAGCTCACATGAAGCAACAGTCAAGACAACCTACAGGGTGACAGAACAGAAGAGTCCACACATGACATCGGGGGGCGTCAGTCGCCGCCGAGCGACTTCATTTTCCCAGGATACAGAGCAGACACCTTCATCACATAGTCAGGGCCAGTTGCCGACCCTGACACCACTTGACATCCCATGCACGAAGAAACTCAGGACGAGCTTGTGTCCAAAGAGCGCGATCAGCTGCAATTCTCGACCAATTCACCCCATGTGCATCCGAGAGTTGGCGCTCGAGATTGGAAATGAACACCCACCGTGGGTGGCGAGCACCAGCGCGCGGGCTAAGGAGTTGCTGCTGGCGCCACCAGGCAGTGCTCTTCCAAGAAAGTGCACGCATGGGGAGAGCAGGGATTGGGACGCCATCGATGTGCTCTTCACGGCGAGCCCAGTGGCCGGCGAGTGTGTGCTGGAGTCTGAGGATGACTGATGACCATCGTTCACGTCCAGTGCAGGCCAACCAAGCTCTGCATTGACGCATGCTGCGTGCGTTCCACTCGAACCAACGCTCATCACGGAGACGGTGGATCCGAAATGCCAAGCGCATCACGTGTAGTTGAAGCATGTTGGCCTGGCGGAGGTCCTCAGCAGCCCAGTGTACTGCTCCAGCTGTCCAAGAAAATTGGCTCTCAACGAGGGTGCGCATCATGTCAACCTTTTTTGCCCAACTCGCATGCCCCTTGAGGATATCCTTATGCGCCATAGCTGCATCGCGTGTCCTCCCAAGAAGTTCGCGGGCTTGCTGCGAGGCCTTCGACCTGAGTGAAAAGGGAAGACCAAGGACTTTGAGAGACTCCCCCGCCGGCGCGATCTCGAAGTTAGTCCCACCAACTTGGACCTTCTTTGGCCCCTTGTAATGCGCAGAGGATATGATCTTGGTCTTCTCGGTGGCCAGACGTAATCCATCGCGCTCAAGACAGCGTTCAAGAATCTTGATTTTACGACCAAGGCGAGAAAGAAGGGACTCGACAATGAAGATGTCATCCTGATAGAAGACGAGCTCAATGTCGGTGTCAGGGAATGCCTTGCCGAGCTCGTCCCACGCTCTTTGTTTAGTCAACCTGCTGAGAATGTCATCCATCACGAGTCCGAACACCTCTGCTGACTCAGGCGCGCCTTGTTTGATGCCAACGTTAGCATCGACATCGATAACATCACCCCCAGGAACTTGTCCCACAAGGCGATAGGTGCGTAGCTGCATCAATAGAAAGCGGAGTTCATGTTCAAGATCCTTGTGGCGGAGCTTCTCAACCAAGAAGTCCATGACCTTGGCCCTATCAATCTTGTCAAAGGCACCCGATATGTCGAGTTTGCAAAGCAAAGTTGGTAGGTGCCATTCAAGTGTGACATCTCGAACACGGGTCACAGTGCCAATAACGTCAGCAGCTTGCCTACCTTTGCCACATCCAGAGATCATGGAGCCACCCCGCATGCATGGCATAACTCGTCCACAGATGAGCTTATTGATCATCTTATGGAAAGCAGAGCTAACACATATGGGTCTCAAGTCACCCGGCTTGGTGGGGATATCGACCTTTGCAATGAGAGCGAGGAAATTATCCCTCCAGACTTCTGGAAGTTCACACGTTGCAACAATGTGGTTGACGAGGGCAAGTAGCTGAGGTGCAACAAAGTCGTCACTGGCAGCAGCTCGTAGAAAGTGCACGCTGATCCCATCAGGACCGACAGCACTATGAACCTTCATGTCTTGTAGGACTTCTCGAATGTCAAGCAGAGAGAACTCGACGAAGTCATCCCTGAGTTGGACGGCATCAATCTGCTTCTGAAGAACTTCATCCCAGTCAGCTGCGAACTCATTCTCCAACTTGGCCTTGAGATGATTTTGTACCTGGACGGTGAGATTTCTGGAGGAGGAGTTCTGCAGGAGCGAGCCCCACCAACCCGTTCTTCTTTTCTTTTCCCGTTGAAGCGCACGATATTCATGCCAATTCCCATGAAGAATAGAAGTTAACCTTTGCGATTGCCATGCTCGACGTGCTTGGCGACGAACTCGATGTACGGTCTTCCAGTCTTTGGGATCATTAGTGGCTCGCGCATGGACAGCTGCTTTTGTGACCTCCTCGGGATCACGGTACGCTGTGCTGCTTCTGGGCTTCGTGCACTGCTTGGCAAGTGATGCAAGGTCCGTCGCGTCAACAATGATGTCGGCCGGAAGGTCTCGGGTAACATAACGAGGTCGAGAATCATTGCCCCACCTGAAACGGGAGGCCTGACTAGAATAGACATCGCAATGAAGAAGGGCATGATCAGTCCCAATAACATGTCTTCTTCCAGGGTCGATGGTAGTGCAGGACGTGGAAAGGCGTCGCATCCAGAGGGCATCGATTTGTCTTCCATTACGTTTGCGATCTCGCGGATAGTGTGTCGGTAGGTCCCACTGTTCTCGTCGAGGTGCGACCGGGCGAATGTCTCGTTCAGCAAGAGCATGCGCCAGGAGGTTAAGGTTAGAACTACCATTGGTCAGGCCAGCCTTGTCATCATCATCAGTCATCCAGCAGAGCTGCTCATTGGCATCAATGCCACACCAGACTGGATATTGTCGCCATTTGTTCGGACACTCGTTGACAAATTGCAGAGCTGCCGCCTGGTAGATCGCGTTAGTTGCACCCGTATGGCAATGCATGCTCCCAATGACCACACGGCCCAAACCTCGAAGCCGCGCGAGGACCCAGATGCCACGGTTGGTTGCAACCTTTCCGACGATGCAGTCAAGCTTATCGGTCGCAATTCCCACCCCCACTGCACGCCACTGGTTAGGAGCACGGTGAAGTACCCAGTGAAAAAGGTCACTCTGATCCGTCATCCAATGATCATCACCACGTGAAACTTCTTGCACACAGACAACATCAAGATCTCGTCCAGCAAAGTCAACCTTATGGACGTCTTGTCCACCCAGGTTCCACGAGGAAAGACGTCCCCATTTGTGTCTTGCACACAAGTTCTGCCGCTTCCCATGTAGAGTCTTGAACTGATCATGGGAGGAGGCCGCTGGAGGGAGACCTGAATTCTCCCCTTCATCAGGGGTGAAACCATTTGGCACCTCTCACAACTCCTTCTCGAAGGCGGCCTTTGCCACCTCGGCCGTACATCCAGCAATTAGGCCCACAGCGTCCAAATTCACCCATCCTCCACTCATCAGGACCGTTTCGGCATCCTTGGGCTTTCTGTGGGTCGAGGACGCGAGCTTATGGATACCGCACCAAATTGTGCCGGCATTCCAATCCATGTCGTAGGCACCATGCTGAAGGTGGGCTTCGTTAAGGACACCCCCGCCCCCATCTTTGTTGTCGCCGACAAGGTCAATGGTGACACGTCGCACCATACTGATGTGGGCTGAACGAGTTCGAGCAGTGCGGGTCTTGACGAACGAAGCCCAGATGGTCCGTTCTTCACCGTTCGTGCGGGCACTCTCAACCACGAGCTTGAGCTTGGCTGCTATGCGGATGACCTGCCACATTCGCCCTTTAACATCCTCCATGGTGCGTTCACCGTCTCGAAGGGTGAACTTAATGGTACCTACACTGCGACGGGGGCCATAAACTGCAATCTTCTCAACGTCAAGGAGGGGCCGAACTTCAGGATGATCCAGGAACGCACGGGACTCCTCTTCAATCACCTGGCGCCGTGTATCCTGAGACCACCCCCCAATGATGAGAGTTCGACGATCTTCTTCAGAAAGGAAGTCACCCTCTGCCACGGTTGGTCTCTGAAGCTCACCCTCCGCAAACACCCCAGCAGCGCCTTTGGAAGTCGAGGTACGTCGCATTGAAGGGGACGGCCAGGCAGGTTGTCCTTGCTGTTGCTGTCGCAAGTATTCCGCCCAGGGGTCCTTGGCTCCTCCCGATGCATCCGGCTTGGCCTCTTCGAGCTGAACTTTCAAGTTCTGAACTTCCTCTGTGAGTTTATCCACTCGTTTGTCACAAGCATCTACGGAGGCCTTATTGAGCTCAGTGGCTTTGCGAAGTGTCGAGACATCCCTTTCCACGACCTTGGTCCTACCAGCAACAGAAGCAACTTCACCCCGACGATCATTATCAAGCTTTTCAAGACGAACCAGTCGATCCTCAAAGGTCTTCCAGGCATTGGTCATGTCGCGACGATGATCTAGTAGGAGAGAGCGAAGTTCTCGTGCTGACAACGGCTGGTCACTCCCATGAGAGGCTCTCTTGGAAGGGCTTTCGATGTCCTCACCCTCGCTCTGTTCGTCATCACCTTTGCCATGGTCACGATCGCGAGCCGCCATGCGCTTCTTCCTCATCTCAGCTTCACGCTTCCGCTTTTCCAACTTGGGCTCCATCTCTGCCTCAGAGGAATCTTCAGCAAGCTCCGTGGGGGAGCCGATCTCCACTGGTTCCACTTGCATATCGCCCTCCATACCGACAAAGAGGATCACGAAGAGGAAGAACGACAGGAAGAAATCACCCCAGGAGGACGCCAGTAGCAAAAGCCAATTCCTCCCGCCGTCACCACACGAGCGAGGACAGTCAAGAAGAGATCGCCCCAGGAAGGTGCCCAGGAAGAACTCGACGAGGTTGCCAAGAAGACACCCAAGAAGAAGAAGTTCTGGCCGCCACGATCACGTCAGAGCCCACAGAGCCAGAGCGATCACAGAGGTAAGTCACTGAGAGACCCTGGCCGCCAGCGTCGCCCTTCACGAACACGCACAATGACCGAGTGCAAGGGACGAAGCTCGGGTAAAGAGTCTCGGGCCATACAGCTTGAGCCGTAGCCATTTGCGTTTAGGTTTTAGGGTATAGGGGTTTAGGGGGTTTAGGGGTTTAGGGTTTAGGAGATTAGAGTTTCGGGGTTTAGGGCTTAGGGTTCCTTTAAAGGAAGTCTGCAAGGGTTCTCTGAGTCCGTTGAGGGTGCTTAGCGTTTCCGGGTTCGGGCATTTGGTTTTAAGGTCGGCGGTTAGGCGGTTGTTTTCCCAACTATATACAAAAACAGAAACCCAAAACTCTGAACCCGAAATGTGCAGCATGCTCTCTAAACTGAAGCCCTACACCGAAAGCGCTTGAACCGTCGTTGCAGGGCGCGCAGACCCGATTACAATGATGGTAGCTGCAGAGACGATGATGACGATAAACATGATGCCCACGACCCTGGTCATAGTCGCAGCATTGATACCGTCCGTACTAACACTGGCAGATGCATCATTGTCAATGATTCGGGGAGCAGTGGTGGTGGTGGTGGTAGTAGTAGTAGTAGTAGTAGTAGTAGTAGTAGTAGTAGTAGTAGTAGCAATAGTAGTTGTCCACCGCCCGCCTTTGGGAGAGCTTCCGCCACGCCGTCCTGACTGGAACAAACTACGTATGAACGATCAGGCCAGGGTGCCTGCAGAAGTGAAATCACAGCTGTCCTTTAGCGCTTCTGTGCGTGTTCCGTGTAGGTTGCAAGCCGCTCGACATCTAGAATAATCATACGGTTGGAACATAATCGTGAGATGAGAACCGCAAAATCAAATCAGAAATGTGGTACCTATGACGACGTTTCACCTTCCCTGAACGTGCTCCAAGCGCGACATTATGGCCACCCTTCGCTGCGTAGGGCCTAGACTTCGGACCTCAAGAAATCCAAACCCCTCTCTAAAGCCCACAAACCCAGAGAGCCCAATACCCCTTAATTAAGCAGTATAGCTTGGACCATGATATGAGGCCCTATATGATTTAAGCTATTTTCCTTAATTAAGGGGTATTGAGCTCTCTGGGAAACCCTAAACCTTCAGAACCCCGAGACCCCGCGGCGCCCTCCTCGCAGAGCTCGTGGCGCCGCCAGCGAGGCCGGACTAACTCCTCCCCCGCGAGACATTCCCACAAGGTCTAGGGCGTCTAGGGGTTAGGGCTTCGGGTTTCGGGTTTTGGGTTTAGGTTTGAGGTTTTGGGGGTTGGGGTTTAGTGTTTGGGCTTTAGAGCTTAGGGTTTCGGGTTTAGGGTTTGGGGGTATGGGGTTTACTTCCAAAGCGCATCCTTGCATCAGCCCAAGGACGCGGTAACTCGGGTTCGGCAAGAAACGACAGACTGCACGACCCAATCGTCTAGACCCAAGAGTAGCCTAGGAATAAAAAGGGTGCCCTTTTTAGTTTGAAGGGGCTTATAAGGGAACCTGAACCCCCAAAAAGGGAATAAGGGCCTACTCTAGGTCCTAGTCGTTCATTGTGAGACCAAACTCTAAACCCCAAGACCTAAATCCTAAACCCTGACACGGGGCCTTGACTGACAGGGCTTTGGGGTGTATGAAAAGCTTTGCATGGCCAAAACACGGGGAAGTTACTACTGGTTCTTCCGATCCCTCTATGTTGGCGAGGATTCACGTAAGAACTCTGAAACACCTGCATGCTCAACACCCTAAGCAACTTCTTCCTAATCCCTAGGTTAAACCCTGAACATGAACCCATGTAAACCCTAAACCCTAAAACCCCCAAACCAGCCAAACCCTACCTGTATCCCCAAACCCTACAAAATGTTAGGTTAGGACCCCTTGAATATACGGTCCTAGACCCCAAAACAGTAGGTTTTTGGATCCCCAGGTAAGCCCTACCCTGATCCGTCAACCCTCAACGACCAAGGTCGAAGTGCCTCTCCAGGCTGGGATGCAGGGAGGAGGTTGGATGTCGAAGCGCCCGACTCCAACACACCTTGGGTATGGGGCATAGGGTTTAGGGTTTAAGGGTTTAAGGGTATGGGGTTTACGGACTAAGGGTTTGGGGTTTCGGGTTTAGGGCATAGGGTTTAGGGCATAGGGCTCAGAGTCAGAGGAGGATGAGGAAAGGAAGGGCTCGTTTGCGGGTGCGCGTTGAGATACGTCAACTCTCTCTCTCTCTCTCTGTCTCTCTCTGTCTGTCTCTCTCTCTCTCTCTCTGTCGTATCCTCTCTCTGCTGCAGAACAGAGCAGCCGAAAACAAAAAACCCTGTATCCTCCCTAGCTACGGCTTGGGGCTTAAGGTTTATGGTTAGGGAGCCTTTAACAGGTCTTGTCGCCTGCTATCCTATGATTGGACCATGTCTATATTTCGAAAGGAATAACTTCAAAATCCTAGTCCGATGATCTATGTACAGAACAGTCTAGTGAATCTCGAACCAAGCACACGCAAGAATCCCTACACTGTAATTACACCGATATCCTAGCTGCTTCGCCCGAGGATCTAATACTCTTGGCAGGCCACAACCCAATTCCTAAAACCTAAAGCCTAAACTTCACCCCGAACTAAGCCCCAACCCCTGAACCCTAACCCGCAATCCCCGAAATAACCCTGAACCAAAACCCAAACACACAAGGCAACCGCGAAGAAGGCCACGTCGAAGCTCGCGCCCTTAGCTAAGGCTGGGACTTTTAGAGCGTAGGGCGTAGGGTTTGGAATTCAGCTCGCTTCAGTACACTTCCATATAGACGGAACCTGACATGACAAACGCCAAGCGCTCGTAAGCTCGAAAATCCGCAACAAGTGTGCATGCTTACTCGTGATACCCGAAACCAAAACACTGAACACCAGCATGCATTGGATAGTACCCCCACTCAGTAATAGCTGAATAATATTCATAATACTGATAAAAAAAGATATATTAGGATCCTGATAGTGTCCCTTTTGCAGACTGCTACTAACTGACTTACTGTATGGGGGCAGTACCCAAAGCATACAATGAGTCCTTCGAAGGCCTGAGAAACATGAAGCTGTTTGTAAGAGCCCCGGCCTCAACCGCTTCTTGCCAAGACACTAAGAGGAAGAAGCGAGCCACAGTGAACCCTCAACCTAAAACCCAAAGCCCTAAAACCCTAAAAACCTCTAACAACCCTAAAAAGCCTGAAAACTCTGAAAACTCTGAAAACTCTCAAATTTCTCAAAATTCCCCAAACAGTTCCTAAAATCCCTAAACCCTTGGCGCCCCCCAGGGGCCCACACCCCGGCTGACGGCTTCCGCGTAGACTAAGGCCTTGCCGGTCTTCAGAGCGACCTTGGGTTTGAGAATCTTAACGGGTGTTTAGAGTTTAGGGCCGAGGAATTTGGTTTGGGGTTTAGGGGTTTGGGGTTTAGGGTTTAGGGTTTATAGAAATTGTTAAGGGTTTGGGTGCCAATAAGTTTTGACCGAAACGTTTTGACCGAAAGTTTGACCGAAAGTTTTCCGACTGAAAACTGATTTTGGAATGAGCGGAAAGGGCTGGGCTGGGGCTGGGGGCTGGCTGGGCCTGGGCCTGGACCTGTGGTGGGCCTGTGGCCTGCTGGGGTTTGGGCGTGGGCCTCGGCTTGCTTTGGGCCCGCCTGGGCTGGGCTGGGCTGGGGGCGTTGGGCAGGAGTTTTGGGCTTGGAACCTAGTTGGAACCTGATTTGAAATTGGGGGAGTTTTGTGTCTGCGGCTGGGTTGGGTTGGAAATTGACGGTTTAGGGAGCTCAACGCCAGCAACGACAAGCAATTTCTATTTATTTCTTTCTTGAGGGTTTAGGGTTTGGGGTTTGGGGTTTAGGGTTTGGGGTTTGGGGTTTAGAGTTTAGGGGTTTGAGGGTTTTAGGGTTTTTAGGGTTTAGGGCCGAGGGGTTAGGGATCTTAGGCTCTATGAAGGTTTCTATAAGGATCTTAAAGGGTTTAGGGTTTAGGGCCGAGCGGTTTTGGGGTTTTGGGGTTTAGGATCTTAAGGGGTTTAGGGTGTTTAGGGTTTTGAGAGTTTGGAGAGGTTTGAAAGTTTTAGGGCTTGTAGGGCAAGATTTAAGGGTTTAGGATCTGAAGGGGTTTAGGGTTTGCTGTTGAAGGGTTTTGGGGTTTTGGGTTTAGGGGCTTAGGGTTTAGGGGTTTAGGGTTTTGAGAGTTTGGAGAGTTTTGAGAGTTTTAGGGCTTTTAGGGTAGGATTTAAGGGTTTAGGGTTTTTAGGGTTTCGGATTTTTAGGTTTAGGGCTTGAGATTTAAGATTTAAGGATTTAGGCCTTGGGATCCTAAAGGTTTGACAGGTTTGGGATCCAAGGGTTCAGGATGTAGGGGTTTGGGATTTGCGAACTTACGGTTTCGGTTTGGGATTTAGGGGTCAGGGTTTAGGGCTTCTGGGGGGTTAAGATTCGGTGCTTTAGTGTTTAACTTAGGGGTTTGGGATGTGCGGTCCTTGGATTCAAGAGTTTAGAATGATTGGTCTTTGGACTTTTTCAGGCTGGGGACTTTGGGACGTTGGGTTTAGACCTCAGCCAAGGATTCTGAAAGGTTTTGCATGTAGCGGTTTCGGATTCAGGGGCTTGACATTTAGGGTTCAGTATTTTGGGGTTAAGTTGAGGGTCCAGGATTGAACTGCTTAGGGTTGGAAATTCGGGGGGCGAGGGCGGGGGCGTTCAACCCCCGCGGGTGTCCAGTCCATCAATCTTCCCGTAGTTGCTGTTACTAAGACTGCGACTCCTAGTGAGTGCTACCGCTACTTCCTCCTCCCACTGCTGCTACTACTCATACTCCTAATTACTCCTGCTCCTCCACAGGCTACTAACCTCCTCCTCCTCCACCTCCTCCTACTCCTGCTACCTGCTACCACCACCAAAGAGCCTTGGCATAAGTTCTAGCACCAGCCTTGGGGTTAAACGATCGACTTCCCAGAGCCCCAAGGTAACATGACGATCCAAGCCCGCGTGGCCTAATGAGATTGATATAAAACCGAAAGGCTTGCAACAGACTCTTGACATGTCTGAGTGGGCTCATCTGGCATATTATTATAGGTCCTATAGAAGTTGACGTCATGCTACACCCTAAACCCTAAACCCTTACACTATGACTATCTTGTCCCGCCGTAGCGTACCAAGCCGCCGGCCCCGACGTCTTGGCGGATGGTGACGAAATCCTGCTGCAAGGCCTCGCTGACCTCAAAAGCGTGGGTCACGCTGAGAAATGCCACCACAAGGCTTGACGGGTCATAAAGGGGTTTAGGACTTGGGGCACCCTAAGGGCCCGAGACCCAAGACCCCAATTTGAGGGCCCTGGCCTCAGGGTGTTCTAGTATATGTACTTGTAAGCGAGTATTGCCACCAGTCATCCAAACCTCTTTTATAACTAACTAACCCCTAGATCCTGAAATCTCATCTTTCCAATCAGGTTCCCCAATTCAGCCGGCTTCGCCCTGGCTCGACATTCAGGAGCGGCTCAACTCCCAGAACCCCAGGGAAAAAGGTCACCGCCTCTCCTTTGAACTTCTGAGCTCCGAAGAACTCGCAAACAGCGAACGCCCAGTCAAAACGAAGTGCTAAGCCGCCGGCCCCAAACCCAGAATCCACACCCTAAACCCTAAACCGCTAAACCACTGAACCCCTGAACCCCTAAACCCTAAAACAGAGAACATCCTGAAGAACCCTGGGATCCGGCCTGCACCAAGCGCTTGATCACCGACTGCTCAGTATCCGCAGAGCCCTGCTGCTTGGAGGATCATGGGACTTAGCAAGTAAGGTGATAAGTACCTTAATCGGAGATATAAGTAGTTACAAGTAGAGTTACCCTAATTATAACCCTAGTTACTAAGTCCCATGATCCTTTAAGTGGGCTCTTCGAGATAACCAGCAAGAAAGTCTGTAGGCTGGTATTTCATAATGTTCCTGTTAAGAAGAAAGCAGAATTCAGAATGGTTCCTTGAAGCATGAAGAAGACCTCATAATGGCTCTTTTAGGGAAAAAGGCAGAAAAGATATGGTTCGTCAAGGGAGAAGTATAAAACGTATGGTTCCTTTCAGTTCAGGAAGAAGGAATAAAAAGTTCTGGTTCCGGTCAGGAAAAACGTTTAAAACCATGGTTCCTCAAAAAGTATGGTTCCTGTGAGCAAACGGTAAAAAAAGTATGGTTCCTTCCAGGAAAACCTTTGGGTATAGTTCATAACGGCTCCTTTAAGGAAAAAGGTATAGAACAAGTAAAAAGTATGCTTCCTTGAAGCAAGGAGGTAGATTTCATAACGGCTCCATTAAGCAAAAAGGTACAAAACCTAAACCCTAAACCCCTAAACCCCTAAACCCTAAACACCTAAACCCAAACTAAACCCCCAAAACCCTTAAACCCTTCAACCCCAAACCCCTAAACCCCAAAACCCCCAAAACCCCCAAAACCCCTAAACCCCTAAACCCCTAAACCCTAAGCCCCTAAACCCCTAAACCGCTAAACCCTTAACCCCTGAACCCCCTAAACCCCCAAAACCCCTAAACCCCTAAACCCCCAAACCCCCAAACCCCAAATCCCTAAAGCCCCAAACCCTAAACCCCAAACCCCAAGCCCTAAGCCCCAAAGTCAGGAACCTAAACCCTAAACCCCAAAACCCCTAAACCCCTAAACCCCCAAAACCCTAAACCCCAAACCCCTAAACCCCAAACCCCTAAACCCTAAACCCTCAACCCCTAAACCGCTGAAGAAAAGCCTGGCCTGGAGCTTCGGCAGGTGGCGGAGCTCCAAAAAGCCCGGGGAGCTCCTCCAGAGCTCTTAGAGCCCTTTAAGGAGGAGGGTTCAGGGTTGAGGGTTCAGGGTTTAGGGTTTAGGGTTTGTTTTTTTTTGGAACTCCTCTTAGGGTGTAGGGTTTAGGGTTTAAGGTTCATGGGTAGATATAAGGGTTCGGACCCTTTAAAGGGATCTATAGGGATTCTATAAGGGCCCTTTAAAGGGATCTATAGGGATTCTATAAGGGTGTATGAAGGAAGAGAGTGGGATTTAGGGTTGAAGGTTCAGGATTTAAGGTTCGAGATTAAGGGTTTAGGGCGACCGGGTTTTCAGGAGCGCCTACTTGGCGGTTCATGGGTAGTTATAAGGGTTCCTTCAAGGGTCCCTTTAAAGGGATCTGTAGGGATTCTATAAGGGTTTCGGGTTTAGGGCCTTCTTGAAGGTTGACGAGGAGTAAGAAGTGGGATTATAAGTAGGGTAGCTATGAATAAAACTCCCATCAGGGGACTTATAACCCCACTTATAACTACCTATGAACCTCCAAGTAGAACCGCTAGAGTTGGGTTTAGGGTTTAGGGTTTCGAATCGCTAGACTAGACTTGGGTGTCGGAGTGATGGGGCCACGAAGGCAGTACGAAGTTGTGCTTCGGAAACTTCATGGATTCAGAGCAGCCACCGCGCAGCTCCATGTTTCATTTCGCCCAAAAAGAATGTTGCCGAAAATAGGGACCCTAATATAGTACCCTAAATACTAGGATCCTTATTATAAGGACCCCAAAATGAGGTACCCCCCAGTTTCCGGAAACTCCCATTATACTGCCAAATCCGCAGCCTTCTAAGGCGGCTGGTGGCCGAGGCACACCGCCAAATTGTGCAGCTGTGCCTCAGCATCGGCGTAAGTCAAAGTCCCTGCACATGGGAGTTTCCGAAAATTAGGGGTACCTTATTTTGGGGTCCTTATCATAAGGATCCTACTATTTATTTAGGGTACTAAACTTACTAAACTGGGGTCCCCTGTTGTCGGAATCTCCCACATATATTGGTACAAAGCCATGACCTGGCCTCGAAACCCAGACACTGCATCATGGAAGCCACTTTCCGCCGGGCATTCACACCATAGATGCTGGAGCTCAAAGATTTTGGGCTTCGTGTCATTTGTTGCAGAACCCTGCCGAATTGATCCATGGAGGAGGCCAGACGGGGGTATATCAGGTTGATATGCTCCCGCCCCGTTCCCTGTGCATCTGTGCAAGCTCTTTGTGCGAGAGCCTCATCGAGCTCACCGCCGGTGTGGCAGCAACGGCACCGCCGTTGTACCACGACAGCCTGGAGGCGATCGCATTGCCCAGAGCCTCCAAAACCCCTTAATTAAGGAATATACCTTAAATCATATTATGGATCCTACTATACTTTAAGGTATATTCCTTAATTAAGGGGTTTTGGAGGCTCTGGGTGTTACATCCAAGGGACAGCCGAATCAGATCAGTAGTCGGCAGAGATGCGAAGGCGGTGCGGATCCTTTGGGTTGTCTCCGAACTCGCGCGCGGTATCTTGCCAGCAGCGTAACATAGCCGAGTAAACACAGCAATACGTGTCCCGGAAGTCGTCATATCCCATCAAATGCACATCCCTCAAATCCAGCGTGACAGGAGCAAGAAAAACTTCGCACCCTGAATCCCTGAAGAACCAAACTTTTCACAGGAATGGGCACCCGGAACTTGACTCATGTACCCTGCTAGGGTTTAGGGTTTAGGGTTTAGGGTTTAGGGGTTAGCTGTCTGCCATCTACTCAATGGCTTGCCCTAGGAAGCCTCGTGGAGCGGTCCGAGCAGCTTCCGTAAAGCTTTAGGAGATGCAGCACTACTGTTGATGATATAAATCCTGCATGACCCATGATAGGGAATATGCCATAATTCCCATATATTCCGTATTACTCATAATATGCAGGATTTATATCATCAACCGTATGCAATGTCGGGCAGTGAAGAATGATGTTCTGCATTGGCTGTCCAGGCTCCTGCGCTGCCTTCGAACCCAAATCTCCGACCTCCGCAGCCCGCACCTCTTACATAAGCTTTAGGGTTTACAGTTTGGAGTTTCGAAGTTTAGGGTTTAGAGCCCTGGAAGGGACTCTAAATTCTCCGAAACTTTCTGAAGAAGTGGGCCTTAAGTCTTTGAATTGGGTTTCTATGAGGGCCTTTCAAAAGGATCCATAAGGACCTGCGGGTATAGGTGCCGCAACAATTCAAACAGGATTTTGGTGCATCTAGTCGTAAAAAAGTATGTCGGAACTGTAGGAGTTGTACAACTTATTGAAAACTCCGATATAGCTACATACTCACTAAAACAAAGTTTCGGAGCATATGTACAGCATAGTTACGAACCGTGCCGAACAGCACGTCACGACCAACTATTTAGGCTTCTAGACTGCAGCCCCTCATTGTTGCAATTATCCGATTTATATTTCCCTTTGACGGGACCCTAAACGGAATCCTTCGAAAGTGAGCCTACGCCGATCCCCCTCAATCGCAATCCGTAACTTAACGACAAACCCCTTAAACCCTAAACCCTAAACCCTAAACCCTAAACCCTAAACCCTAAACTCTAGACCCTGAACCTTTAAACTGCAAACCCTAACCCCATCCCTAAACCCTAAACCCTGAAGCCTAGACCCTAAACCCTATCCCCTAAAGTCTAAGCCCTAAACCCCGAACCCTAAAACCCGAAACCTAAACCCCAAACCCTAGACCCTAGACCCCAAACCCTAAACCCCAAACCCTAAACCCCTAAAGCCCTAAAGCCCTATCCCCTAGAGCCTAGCCCTCGGCCGAATCTCCCCTAAACCCCAAACCCTAGACCCTAAACCCCAAACCCCAAACCCTGAAGTAGAGCCTAGATATGGGCCGAATGGGCCGACTCTCCTGGTTCGCGCCAACATCGGCTGCGGCTTCCAGGTCCCGGGGCTCAACGAAGCAAACCGCGACAGCCGCTCCTAGGGGTTTCTGTTTTTCGCAGAGGTGTCGGGTTCAAGGGTGAAGGGCTTAGGGTTTTAGGGTTTAAGGTTCTTTTTTTGGAGCTCCTTTTCTCCAGTGCCCCGAAAGGTCTGAGAGGCCAGGACGGCCAGGGTTTAAGGTTTAGGGGTTTAGGGTTAAGGGCTTAAGGCTAGGGTGGGTTTAGGGTTAGGGCTGAGGGATAAGGGTTTAGGGCTTAGGGTTGAGTTCTCAGGGCTTTGGGTAAAGGGTTCCGGGGATGATAAAATAGAGACTAGGGAGGAGCCTGTCGTTTAAGGACTTATAGATGCTTCCGGTGTTCTAGCTTTAGGGCTCCAAGGGTATCTGCCGCAAAAGGAAAGGGCCTCAAGAGTCAGTATTCTACCGCAAATAAGCGCGGAGCAGAAAAGATAGAATCCATGAACCCTAAACCCTGAACCCCACACCCTCAACCCTAAACCCAGAACCCTACATCCTCAACCCCCAACCCCAAACCCTAACCCGCAGGGACGCTGGCAGGTCCTCCAAAACATGGGCTCTGCTCTCCACCACGGACGTCCAGGCCGAAGCAGCCTCTGCGGCAGAAGCCGGTACACCAACGAGACAGTCAAACAAGGGGGGGAGGGGGTTAGGGTTTAGGGTTTAGGGCCCCGTGAGGATCATGAAGACGACGACGAGGATGATGACTGTAACGATTATGATGAAGAAGATGATGATTGTGAGGACGCGGAGGTAGACGAGGAGGAGACGCGATCGTTTTAGGTGCCGATGCCCAGGACGACATTGACAATGCTTTTGCTGTGAAGTGTGTTCGTCAGTGTTGCGATTGCCAAGTTTATCTATGTGAACTACAATTATGGGAGGTTCTGAGAATCAGGGGCCCCGTATTTTGGTCCTTATACTTATAGTAAGGAGCCTACGATTTCGAGTACTATAAAGGGAACTCCAGAAAGTTGGAATATGGTTTCAGGGTAGGATACCTTATAATTTACCATAAAGGGTTTAGGATAACCATATTCCAACTTTCTGGCTTTTACTTTACTAGGGTCCCCTATTTTCGGAAACTCCCATATGACAACCGCGCTCTCATCTGCAGCCCTCGTCAAATCCGAACAGATTGAACTCCAAACCAAAAAGCAGCGAAGCCCCGAAATACAAAATCAAACTCTCAGTTGGGGCTTAGGGTTTACTTAAAGGGTCATGGGACTTAGTAAGTAGGCTATAATTGGGGTTATAAGTCTCCGTCTTTGGGCAAGATCTCATTCCTTACGGTAGAGTTTGTATGGGCGCTTTAACAACCAGAACCCTGAGCCCAGAACCCTAGATAGGGTTTAGGGTTTAGGTGCCCTACATCCTAACAAACCCTAAACCCTAAACCCTAAACGCTAAACCCTGAACCCCTAAACCATCCCGTGCACCTGGGATTTGGGGCAGACGCCACAGCCAGCACCGCAGGCGACAAGGAACCTGGGATCGTTGTTTTAAGGCGCAGTACAGGGGGCCTATATGGGGGTTTCCGAAAATAGGGGACCCTAATATAGTACCCTAAATAGCAGGGTCCTTATTGTAAGGACCCCAAAATAAGGTACCCCTAATTTTCGGAAACTCCCAAATATTTGGAATAGGGTTTAGGGTTTACGGTTTGGGGCAGGGGCCTGAATAATAAGAACAAGGCTTTGGCGGACACTAACTAACAGTGTTGATAGGAGTATAGGGGCCTTAATAATTTGGACCAGGCCTTTGCGGGGAGGGTAATATTATACGATAGTTATGGTAAGGAACCCTAAGGAATATTATTGGCAATTATATAGGGGAATAAAGTGGGCTTACGTTGCTTAGAAGGCTGTTGGAGGTTCTGCAAAGCTTGATATTTGTTCCTGCACAAGCTGAAGCAGCAAGACGAGTAATGACGAGTGGGACTAGCCCCATGATTGTCGTCGTCCGTCGTTGTGGTTGCAATGAAGGCTGCAGTATTAGTTGTAGTTGTAGTAGTTGTAGTAGTTGTAGTAGTTGTAGTAGTTGTAGTAGTTGTAGTAGTTGTAGTAGTTGTAGTAGTTGTAGTAGTTGTAGTAGTTGTAGTAGTTGTAGTAGTTGTAGTAGTTGTTGTAGTTGTTGTAGTTGTTGTAGCTGTAGCAGTTGATGTTGCGGTTTGTCGTGGTGGTGGCGGTAGTGGCGGCTCTGTCGGTTGTAGTGGTCGTCGTAGTACTTAGTAGCACCAGTGGCAGCAGCAGCGGTATGACTATCCTCTGAAAATATGACAGTTTCGCCGCCCTTCTAGCGGCACCAGGCTTTCATGTGTCCCGAAACCCTAAACCCTAAACCCTAAATCCCTGAAACCCTGAAACCCTAAAGCGTACCCGTTTTGGAAACAAGCTGGCAACCAAGGCACTGCGTGGCCTCGGTAAGATCCTGGGCATCGCCCAGCAGCTGCCGTGCAGCGAGGACGAGCCTTACCAAACCCTTACTACACCCCCCTTAGAACCATAATAAAAATAGTATTCGTAAGTTTTTCTTGGGTTTTATATGAACAAAAATGAAAAAAACTAAGGGGGACTGTAGTTAAGGGATCCTTTGAGGGCTCCTTCAAGGGTTTGGGTTCGGCAGTGACGGTTTTGAGCATGTGGTTTGGGCTTGGGCTTCAAGGTTCGGGGTTTGCGAGTCTATTGCTTGAGGCTTCAAGGTTTTCGGGCTTGGGGGCTGTTAGCATTGAGAGTTTAGGGTCGCACTTTTGAATTGTTTTAGGGTTCCGGAGGTTACAAGTCTGTGTTTGGGGCTTAAGGCTGCAGAGTTGCGGGCATAGGCTCGAACATAAGGGATGTAGGTTTTTGAGATGGAGAGCCCCAAACCCGAAACTCTAAACCCCGAACCCCCAAACCCTGAAACCTGAACCGAAGGTCTTGGGGCTAGGGTGTGCGGGGTCTAAAGGATCCTGGGCTCATGCTTTCGGGCTCGAGGTTTACGGTTTGGGGCAGCAGAAGGCTTCGCAGGAAGTATCCTCTGTCTGGGTTCATAGTGCTCTAAGATCATGAAACTAGCACATAAACAGTTCTGGAGTCCTATACGAGGTTGCAATGAAAGATACGCGTTGTGGTGTTACTCTCGGCTTCTGTCTTTTAGGTTCAGGGTTCTGCATTCTGAATGTATCACTCTGTGGAGACGCTTTGTTCCAATTGCCGTCACTTCGCCTAAGGCCCAAGGTTTGGGATACTACCGCGACGGATTGAGATCCTGCAGCTTCGTGTGCCTGTTACCGTTGATTTTCTCCAACTCGAACCCCAGCCCTGGGCCCCAAACCCCAAACCCCGGGCACGAACCCTAAAACCCCAAATTTTAAACCCTCAAACCCCACCCCTTAAAAGGAACTTCATAGAACCCACGTAGAGCCCCAAATCCCAAACCCGAAGCCCTCGCCCTCCTTTCGAAAGACCCGTTCGCTCTTCTGGGACCCGTGGGTTGGAAAACACAAACTGCCTGACGGGTTTAGGGATTCAGGGTTCAGGGTTCAGGGTTTAGGGTTCAGGGTTTAGGGTTTAGGGTTTAGGGTTTAGGGTTTAGGGTTTAGGGTTTAGGGCCTTTAAGAAGCATCCTGCGTGTTTAAAACGTTTAGGCTTAGCGGCTTGGGGTTTAGGGAGGGTTTGGGGCTTAGAGTTAAGGGATCAAGATCTAAGGCATTGGTTTAGAATTCAATCCACAAGTGTACTGTATATGTGTAAAGAGGACTCGCGAGACAACTCTACCCCCTGTACATCGTACCCCAAATAGTAGTAACCCTTATAGTAACCCTTATAGGAACCCTTATGGGAACAATTATAGGAACCCCCTACACGCCTGCTTGGGGCCGCACAAGCTGTAGCTAAGCCCCGGAAGATTCACGGACAGCTGGTTGAGCTCCTGGCAATTCGTCCTAAACCATTCAAGCTCCTATATGAAGCCGTCGTTATAAGAAGGATCCTACTCTTCAGGGTACCAAATTAGGGGCTCTGTCTTTTGGGAACCCCTACATAGCTGTACCAAACGTGACTGCCCAAGGCCTAAGCCCCTTCATTGCTTTCTTAACATGAACCCTTTTCGAGGTTTCAACGTGGGCTTGGAAGTTCCTGTTAGTACAAGTTTACATGGACTGCAACAGGATTGGAGCGACCTCTATACTATGTCTGATCGAGATGAGAAGGAGAGACATTTAGCCAGAGCATCCCCTCTCCCTATAAAGCCTGACGATTAAGGGTTTAGGGTTTAGGGTCCAAACCAGATTTTACGTGTTAAGGCCCTGGCCTATACCATGACCATAACCCAATGCAACGTGCAAAAACGCATTGAAAGCAACCGCGAAAACCAGTTAATCAAGTTATTCTAACGCTGTTCGAGCTCTTGAACCCAAATAACTTGCCCGCAGACTGAAGCTCCGTAAACGTGTGTTCCAAGAGCTGCCAAATACAGAATTCAAACCCTTGATGGTATAGGGATTAGGGCTTAGGTCCGTTATGTTTGCATTTAAATCGTAAACTTCAAAACCCTGTAAACTCAAAACCCGAAACCCCCACATCACTAAACCCGACACCCCAAAACCACCCCCCAAACCTAAACCCCGAAACCCCTTCTAAAATTTTTGAAACCCAAACCCTGAACCCCCAAAACCCTGACCCCTGAACCTCTGAACCCTTGAATCCAAACCCTACATGAGGCCCCACATCCCTCAATCCGGAGACGATGGAACCTCGAAGAGCCCGGCAAGAAAGGAAATGATATCATCGCCGGACCTGGGGTGTGCTGGTTCAGAGCCATAGCCATTAAGAAGACCCCCTCACAATCCCTAAATATGTGTACGTACTATGGTATACTGCAAAGCAACTGTCTTGATTGTTGAGAGCCCTATACTAGAAGAAGCTTTTTTGTCGAGCCTCTGCACGTGTTCGTAGTAGTAGTTCGGCGAAAAACATTAAACAGCAAACGAATGGAGTACATTGTACCGCAACAAGACAGGCATCTGAGGGCCAAGAAGACTCGTGTACAGTAAAAGTAGGCCTTGAAGATATAACAATAACACATCTGCTATCGGGTTTCGGCAGCAAGGCAGTGGGAGTATGTAAACCCTAGACCCTTATTAAACCCCGAAGCCCTAAACCCTAGGATTCCACGGCAACGGCTCGAGGTTTGGTAAACGGCAATTTGGGAACGGGACCTTACACGGATAACTTTGAGGTTGATGCACGGCTTTGGGTTTCCTGAGTCCCACATCCTGCTTAATATGAGGGCCTGTGACGTCTAGCGGCATCTTACACTATAGATGTAATGTGGACTAGAAAGAAGCAGTTGTAGTATCTATTCAGTTCCCTATGCTATATTAGCTGTTTAGGGTTAGCATGCTCTGAAGTGCAATCGAAGCAGCTGCTGAACCAGCTGTGCACACGGCGAGGAGGCCAAGCGAAGGGCGAGATGCATCCTAAGCCTAAGCAGCCTTAGCAATGGCCTTAGCCTTCGCCCTAACCTAAACCTAACACCAAACAACCTAAGCCAGCCCGACTAACCTCACCTACCTCCCTGCCGCTTCAAAACTTCGGGCTGTACATTGGTCCTACAAGCTCGTGGGAACCCCTCGAATTCTAAGGCTTGCGTGTGCCTTAGGCACAAAAAAACTTAGGGGGCCTTCCTAGGGTTCCTGAGTATGTCTGTAATGGAGCTGAGGCGCCTACATTAGGTTCATGTTCGGGTTTACGGTTTAGGGTTCATGTCTAGGTTTAGGTGTGGATTCAGTTGAGGCTAGGATAAGCTAGGGTAAGGTTAGGCAGACAGATGCAGGCCTACAGCCGTATGCGCCGTACATGTGTACATAGCTACACATGCCTACATATCACCAAACTATACACACACATAACCTGTGTCAGTGTCAGATTCCTTGCCTCTTCATGAGCCGGAGAGAGGGAGGCTCCACAAAAGCTACTCATGGTTCGGCAACATCATGCAGCGATGCAGGGAAATCCCTGGGAAACTTGCAGGTTCAGGGCTGAGGGTGTAGGGTTCTGGGGCCAAAAGTGTGCCTGCTTATGTGTACTGGGTTTAGGGTTTATGGGAGTCTACGGCCAAGCACAGTGTCAAATGGCTGGAACATGCAGGCCCTGGTGGTGAAACAATCGCAGTTGCACTCTTGAAGTAGACTCCCCACACCCTATACCCTCAATCCTAAACGCTAAACCCTTGTTGAGTTCCTGTTTCATTAACTAGGTTTAGACCGGCTCCTAGATTTGCATCCCTAGCAAAACCACTGCAACATCTGCTGCCGAATTCTGCAACCTCTCAATACATGAAAACATCAGAAAGAAGTAGATACTCGGGTCTCTATCGTCTTGCTGAGCTGCAGTGAGACATGTGGCTGAACTTGGCCAGCCAAAATAAAGAGTCTTTCGAAAGTCATTCAAGATAAACCCCGCTTCTTCTGTTTAGGGCTTTGGAAGGTGGGGTGTTCGGTTGCTTACGCCGCATGAGCAACATGAGCACATTGGTACGACCCCCGCGCTGAAACCAACGTTCAAGAATTGTTGAGATCCCTCACATATCCAAGACCCTTCTCGAAGTCAACCCTGAAACACTCGAAACAAGTAGACACCCCTAAACCCTAAAGCCAGTAGAATCTCTAAACACTGAATCCTAAAACCCTAGAATCCGTAGAATCTCTGAGCACTGAAGCCTAAAACCCTAAAATCCGTAGAAGCTCTAGACACTGAACCCCAAAACACACCCTCCATGCACAGAGGCCGGGAGGCTACATGTACCCTTATAGTAGATACTTAGGCCTTAAAGTACCTATATAGGGATCCCTTTAAGGCCTAAGTATCTACTACAGGGGTACATGGAGTCTCTTCGCCCCATCGAGGCACTCCTTGAGCACGCCTAGAGCCTCCTGCTTGGCGGCCTCCCGTTTCGACTTGATGGCCTGCGGTTCGGCGATGTTCGCGGCTGTGGGGTTTTAATTCAGGTTTCAGGGTTTAGGGTTTTAGGGTTTAAGGTTTAAGGTTTCTGGTTTCAGGGTTTAGGGTTTCAGGTCTTCAGGGTTTAGGGTCTTAGGTTTTCAGGGTTTAGGGTCTTAGGTTTTCAGGGTTTAGGGTTTCAGGTCTTCAGGGTTCAGGGTTTAGGGTTTCAGGGTTTAGGGCTTCAGGTCTTCAGGGTTTAGGGTTTAGGGTTTGGGGTTTAAGATAGAGGATTTGCAGTTTAGGGCTTCTGGCGCGCAAGGTCCAGGCTTTTGGCTTGAATTTTAGGGAATGCGGTGTGGGGTTCGGCGTCAGACTAGGAACTAGGAGATTGTTTGCGCATGGCATTGCTGGGGTGTGCGTCGAATGATTCACGGCGTTGGGGATGGAGCTACTACTACTCCTCCTGCTGCCCTTGCCAGGGTGAGTTCAGACAACTTCACAGAGGGGAAAGCGTTCAGTGTCCGGTCGCTCTTGAGGATCTCAGCCTCCACAGCTCTGAAGATATCAAGCGGTCTGGTAACTTGCTTCCCAGGCCTGTAGGCTAAGGTGGTCTCCCGGATAGAGGTGGCCTCCATCCTGGAGAGGGCGCCTCCAGAGCAATGCTTTTTGCTTTTTCCTGGAGGAAATCTGCTTTGTTCTCCTTCTTCTCCTTGTCTGTGTCCTCCAGCCGGCGCTTCAGGACTCGGATGTCGCTCTCCTTGTCCTGCGCTGATAACAACGGTTAAAATAAGAACATGTCTCTCCTATTGATTGCTGGTGCTGGGCTGCTTCTTCAGCGCCCTCCGGAGCTGCTGCAGCTCCTCCTACTGCACTACATTGGCGAGACATGACTTTCAGGTGCATCACTAATCTGCAGGACCACCAGTACTGGCAGCGACAGTTGTGGCTGGGGCAGAGGCCAAGACTCTCAATACTGCTGCCATTAATGCATGTTCTGACTGCATGGTTCACCCTCTAAAGTGATCCTAACCCTGCCACATCCTGCCACTGTATGACATTATGATGCTTAGTGGTTAGGCTTATGGCCCTCGTGCTCCAGAACCTAAACCCTAAACCCTAAAACCCTTTTAAACCCGCAAACCCTAAACCCTAAATTCTAAACATTAAACCTGGCCTGCTGCATGAACTTCATGCCGAGCAGGCCGGTCGAGGGCAGCTCGCCCTCTGCATCCAGGTCCCTGGGGTTTAGGGTCTAGGTTTTTAGGGCTTACCTGTGGCCCCAAAATACCTATCTTTTTAAGGGTGTATATATATATATAGAAGAAGAAGAAGAAGGAACCCTAAAGAGGTAATTCTTTTCGGCTGCAGGTAGGGTTTAGGATTTGGGGTTTGGGGCTTCCAGGATTAAGAGATGCTACTCGGGTAAACGGTTTTTGTCTTTATGCTTCTGCCAATGATGCTACTAAACGGTTAAAGGGTTTAGTTTAGGGATTTTGTGTGCTGCTACTTATAGCTGCTTGTTTGGTACAGTTTGTCGTCGGTGATAACCGGCCCGCTGGATTCTTCGAGAACTTCGTCGTCCGCAAGAATTACGTATCCCCAACGTACTGGCGTGTGTTGACGACAGCCCCTGCGATCAAGAGCCAGGTGACTGCTGTGGATCTCGCAGCATCTCCTTTAGCATTGGTTTAGGGTTCAGGGTCGAGGGTTCAACGCCTTAGCATTAGCATTGGATTAGGGTTTAGGGTTTAGGGTTTATGCTGCAGGGTTCAAGGCCTTAGCATTGGTTTAAGATTCAGCGCTTAGGGTTTTAAGGCCCTAGCATTTATTTAGGGTTTGGGGTGTAGGGTTCAGGGTTTGAGCTTTAGGGCTTCAGGCCTCGTTGGTTTAGGGCTTAGGGTTCACACCTCTGCATTGGTTCAGGGTTTAGGGCGTAGGGTTTAGGGTTTGGGGCTTTAGGATTCAAGGTCTTGGCATTGGTTTAGGGTTTAGGGTTTATGCTTTAGTTTTCAAGGCCCCAGCATTGGTTTAGGATGCAGCGGTTGATTTTCCCTAGAATTGACAGGCTCTTTCAAAAGCCGAAGCCCGAACCCCAAACCCCAAACCATAGATCTTTAACCCCAAACAAACCCTAAATCCCAAACAATACTACTGCGAATCGTTAACCATACACCTACACCCCAAACCCTAGACCCCAAACCCTGAATCAAACACCCCAAACCCTAAACCCTAAATCCTAAACCCCAACCCCTAAACCCTGAAACCCCAAACCCTGAATCAAACACCCCAAACCCACAAGTAAAAGCCAGAAAGTTGGAATATGACTATCCTAAACCCTTTATGGTAAATTATAATTATAAGGTATCCTACCCTCAAACCATATTCCAAATTTCTGGAGTTCCCTTTAAACCCTGAATCCTTAGAACCGAACCCTCTTCTTCTGGGGCTGCCCGCCGGATCTCCTCCACCGTGAGCCTTTTTGCCTCAAGGCTAAGGCTTTCCGGGCTTAATATGGGAGTTTCCGAAAAAGGGGGACCCCAAGATAGTACCCTAAATAGTATAGTAGGATCCTTTAAAGGGTTCCTTAAAGGGATCTATAAGGGGTTCTAGAAAGGGTTTAGGGTTTAGAGTTTCCGAAAATAGGGGCCCCAAATATTCTACCCCAAATAGTAGGATCCTTATTATAAGGACTCCCAAATAAGCTACCCCCAATTTTCGGAAACTCCCATATAGACGCCTTAAAGGGCTTCTATAAGGGTGTAGGGTTTAGGGGTTTAGGGTTTAGGGGTTTAGGGTTTAGGGTTTAGGTGTCCATAAGGCTTGGTGCTTATTAAGGGGCTATTGGGTTACAATTATCACGGTTTTGTGTAGCGGTCGAAATAATTAGAATCAGGCTTTGGTGCACAGTATAGTGTAACTGGAAAACGGAACCTGAACAGATAACAGTGGGGACTTAATCAGGCTCGTATGTTAAGGGTTTGTGGGACTTCAAGATTTAAGGTTTTAATTTAGGCTTGAGGTTTAAGGATTTCAGGCTCTAGGGGTGTACTGAGGTTTGAGGTTTAGGGATTTCAAGTTTTAGGGGGTTGATTAAGGTTTGGGCTTTAGGGATTTCAGGTTTCAAGGGTTTAGCTTAGTCCGTGGTTCAGGGGTTTAATTTAGGTTTGGATTAGGGATCTCAAGTTGGTTTAGAGGTCAGGGTTTCGGGATAAGCTCTACGATCTAGATTGGGGCTGACCCGGCTCAGGGGTTTAGGATTGTTGCGATTTGCGGCTTAGGGTTGGCAGCGTGGCCTCTGGTTGGCAAGGACACCGGGGTGTTGTCTTGAGATCTTGGAGCCTACACCCTAAACCTTAATGTAGCGGCCTTAATAATTAGAGTAGGATTTGGGGGTATATTGTACAACAAGGAATCCCCAAAACCCTATTCTAATTATTAAGGCCCCTATATTAAACCATGCACTCTTTGCCATTCCAGCTCGAAATTCTGAGCACTTTGATCTGGCGTCGTCCGTAACCCGGCAATCCTAAACCC